AAATGATTCCTTAGTGCCTATTCATAAAAAAAAGTAAATATTTTTTTCTTCATTTTCTCACAAGAGCAAGGTCAAATGCAAGGAGAAGAAGGAGAAGTGGAAGGTAGAGAAGTGGAATTGGAGGGTTTTGCTGGAAGAGAAAGGTCCTCAGGCTTTGCGACTCTACAATCTCGGGGAGGTTATTTCATTGGGGACCCACAATGATGCAGAAATTGCGACCGGGTGACTGATGGCAAGGTTGCAGAAGCTAATCATCTGCAAACAGCAGAGCACATAGCACAAGATAATCTGATGTAAGCAGAAGAATTTCTTTGCCCTGCCCATCAACAAGAAGGAATGAGAGTTCAGACTCAAGGACACAAACTGAGGTATTAGTTATTAAATAGTCCAAGAATCATTGTGAAAAAACATAAAGGATTCTTTCAAAGGCTGACAAAGTCTCTGCTGATAGAGATATAATAATTGCATCCCCAAAAGAGAAAAATGTGGCAGCTACAAAACATTCACACTCTGCTGTATGTTATAGGATCTTGAACTGAGCCCCTCTCCCCTGTAGATATTGAAGTCATCTGGGTACTTCCCAGCTGTCCTCCCTACTCAAAAACCTCATATTTTACCATCCACTTTAATCCACTTGTTTTTGTCAACACCATTAACTGGACTTCTCTAACTTCTTCCGGACAATCGAGGTAAACGGTGGACTGTGCCAAGAGTCATAATCTCTGTTTACTGTATAAACACAGTAGAGGAATGTGGCCGGCGGCTTGTTGAGAATGGACGGTGTGTTGATAAATAAGGAAGCTCAAGTTTGCCTTATAAGGCTTTATAAACGTAATAGTTTATTCCTACACGATTTTAGATGCATTTGGACACATTTACTAGCCATCACTTCACCCACATCTGTGTGCGTTTCTACAGTGTAAAAGGCTACCAAAACTGTTGGTTTAGCTTATGGTTCTTATCAAGTACATAAGCATAACATAGATGCCAAATAAAACTAAAGGTTAATGAGCAAGGAGAGTCAGAATGGCTGCTGTGGGACAAATAATGAAGGGGGGGAAACAATGAGGATCGAACATGTAATGACTAAGTTTAGCTTGGCAGAAAGGAAGACCAGCTGTGCAAACCCATTTTCAGGTGTATGGGGGCAGCTCGGTCTGCTCTGCCCTGCTTTAAAAGGGACTGTTGGTTATGTCCAGCTGCCACTGTGGTGCTCTGTGCCCCCGTCCTACCCATTCACTGAGTAATTAGACTCCAGCCTCATTATATAAACAAGTTGCTGAACTATTTTAGGAGTTTGCCTAAGTCTCATTTACTCAATTTATCTCAACCCGCTGATGCACAAACAAAATATGGAAATGCTCTACATCCCTATGCCCCTAAATCAAATGCAGTTAAACGTCAAAACCGCAAGGAAATGTGTCATGATTGATGTGTCCATAGTTTAACTGCAATAATGGCCTCCCCTCAAGCGGAATTACCAAAATCCACAGGCTTTGTTCTTGACATTCATGGCTCCATATGGAAAACAGTTTTGTATCATTTTACTGCAGCCCTCAAACCTGTTTTCCCAATTTGTCTCTAGACATTGTTTGGCTCTTTGTAAAACATAATTGTGTCAACAGTCGCAGGAGATGAGACACCAGACCTTTTTGATAAGTGCTTTCCCACAAGGTAAATTTGCCAGGCGGGTAGGGAGCAAACATGCAAACAAACCAGCAGACAGTAATTTTCCACTGTCTGTCACAGTGCATTTTAATGAGGTTGATGGATTAATGCCTCACTTCAGTAATAGGCCACTCGGAGAGCACCCGTTAAGCTTGTTGTGCTTTATCAGTGCCCACTGTATCACATCAGTAATGGTCACCCACAAGTCCCGATCCGGCTGTTTTCCACATCATTTTTCCATCTAAATGTCTTTATCGTAAATGGGCCTTTTTTTCTTTTTTTTTCCAGTGGAAAGCAGTTAAACCCCCCAGAAACAATGTGGTCCTGAGATTAAATGGTTGAAAACATAAGCTCTTAAGTGTTGTTGCTGATTGCCAGATGATGATTGAGCTGCAGGCTAGACATTTAGCAGGAGTGGAATGGACTTCATTTTGTTGAGTGAAGTGAGGATGTGTGTGTGTGCATAACTTTGCAACAGTTGAGCTGTTTTTAATGTGAGGTGACCTGTGTCTCTTTTTTTATATATGTATACATTCATGCACATGTACAAGGTGTTTTTTTTTTTTTTTTGTGGAACAAATGAGACTTATAGGTTGTTGTTGTTGTTGTTGCAACAACTTTAGTGTCCATGCAAAAGTTTCTATCTATTATAAAAAGAAACCAGTTAAGTGTAGACATGTAGAAATTAGTTTTCCTTCCAAGTTTTAGGAAGTAATCACAAATTTATTCACAAGTTCTGAATAAATTCACCCTTGAGTACTGGCCATTGTTGTACATCATCAATATGTGATGTACGGAGCATTCGAGGCGCTATTTTCTTAACTATTATACCCCCATTTTCCCAGTATTACTTTTGACAACCTCCAGATGTTTTTGAGCTCATCAGATAGCTATACCTTAAAGCAAAGATCGCAATTAGCAGAGGGAGAAAGTGTTTTTTCAGGTGACAAGAAGTAAAAATGGCACCATTTAAATAAAACCCAGCATGTGTTGTAGCTGCATTACAATCTGTTGATGCTACTGCTGTTGGATATCTTGAGGTCTCTTCTACAGTGAACTGCATAATGTCATTTCTCACACAATGATACGTTTAGAAAGAATTTGTTTCTCTTTTATTCTAATTTTCATCAAAACCTGATGTCTATCTCCTCCATTTTAAGAAATCTAGCAAACTTGTTTGGAAAATATTCTTAATTTACATTATGTTGTCTATGAGATATCCTATCTAATAGAAAATGCCTCACATCAACAAAATGGGCCCAGAAATTCAAGATACATCACCAATAGCTTCTCTTTGCTTTAAATTGTGATATTGTAAGTTATCTTCAAAAACATTTACTGAATGGACGAATTGGCCATCAGTGCTTTGTTTTCAAGTCTTTTCATTGGTGTTAGCATTATTTAGAGTTGCTTAATGGATCTCCACCCATGTGTTTGATCAGTGTCCCACCTCCCAGCCTCTTATCTGGGCTAACACAATGGACACACTACCTGCTCTTATTCTTCTCTTCTTTCGAGAAGGGACCATCAGCTCAGCCAATGCCTTTTTGAATGTCAGCGTTTTATCTCCTTTGTATCCTGCATTTTCTCTTTGGTCTTGTTCTTTAATGATTTTGACACACACACACACACACACACACACACACACACACACACACACACACACACACACACACACACACACACACACACACACACACAGAGACTTGTGGTTCTGGTGGTGGTCCCACCCCTGAGCTGAATATCACTCTGAAGTGTGTCTTCCCTCTTGGTTATTGCCTCTCTATTGTCTTGTGGCTTTGTGTGCAGGGGCTTTTTGTGTCAGCCCTGCTGGAATCGGCCTGTTTGCTGTGATTAAATGGGAGCAGTAGAGGTTGGGAGACTGAACCAGGACTCTTTTAGAGTGAAGGAAAGTTGCAGTACACACTGCAGTAGCTTAGCTCTACATCAGCCTTTGCTGGGACACAAAGCATCCCAGTGTGTTTACAAAAAATTGTGTGATTTAAATCTTCATATATGTTTATGATGCCTATAATTATGTTTAACGCCGCACATCTCAAATTTGTATGCAGTGGTAATTTTGTTTACGACTCTCTAGTCTAACTGCATTTCCCTATTTTCTCTTTAGTAAAATCATTAATTAACACTCAGAGCATATGGAGCTGTTAACACCACCTGAGTACCATCATAGACGTTTGATTGGTTGGCTGTTAAACACAGTATTTAACTCTGAATATAAAAATGTTAATTTCTGTCTGATAGCCGCACATGTACTAAATTCTCTTAGTCCAAAGTGAGTAAGTATACAGTAATATACATAAATAGAGAGGTGAGAGGCTGTAACCAGCAATTGTTGGTATTTTACCTGATCATTTAAATTATTAATGAGTTATTATAAAAATGGCATTCTCTGTCTATCAGTTAATTGGCTAATTGTTCGGGCACTTGTGTAGATTCACACCATTAAATTGTCTTTTCCTCTGAAACTACTCTGCTGTGATGAGTGCTTTTCCTTCCTCTGACAACATATTCTTTGAAGTAAAGTGTATCACTGCTTTAAATGAATGACCTTGATTACACAGTGGTAATAACTGGACACAGAGCACAGAGGATTATGGGTCATGTATCGTTTTTCACACAGGGGATTTATGTTAGTCAATGTGGTGGCACCAGGAGTTGGAGGGAGTTATTAGGAATGAAAATGGATTGAGGCTTCTCTAATTGTGAGCTCACCTTTTGTTGAATAATGCAGCCCATTAGCTTCACTTGGTAACCCAAAAGTCCAAGAAATTTTTTTTTTCTTGAACTCGTATCACCTGAGTAAAGGTTTCCTATAGAGAAGGGGCAATCCAAAAATCAAGGGTTTTGCACAGGGCTTTCTGTAACTTGAGTCCAATAAAATGATGCTTCTAAAATCTCTGATGCTGCTTTTGGTCCGTCAATGCAGACTGTGGTAAGACTACTGTGGTCTTACTGAAATAAATTCATAAATAATGGAATTATTGTATGTATTTATTTATTATAAAAGTTTCAATCCACGCAGTGTGAAGCAACATACAAAACATGTTTTGTCAGGTGGCCTGGATTTGATCCATTTATAGAGCTTAATACTGAGTACAGTTATTCAACAAGACAAGTAGTTATATATTGTATTGTATTGTAAACCACACTATAGTTTAGTGTTAGAGAAAAATATAACTAGTATGACCGGAGTAATTTTATACTTAATTGAAGCTATTATTGCATGTAAAGGTATTATCAGATTACAGAGAGAGGGAGACCGATTTAAATAGCCTTGCGTGATAACTGATCGTATCTCTTTGTCTCTTCAGGTATTTGGAGATTATTATCACTTCCGGCATCGTACAGTGGTGAAGAGATCGTTGTCAGATCACAGGGGAACACAAGTCCGTCTGCAGAAAGATCCCAAGGTAAGCCGTTTATTTCAGGTGCTGCAATTGATGGACTGTGTGCTCGTGGATGTGGAAGAGGTGTATTCATGTTTTGCATTATGCTGTGAGGAGTGAATACAAATGCTGTATTTTTATTGTCACCCATGAGTGCTGGTTGTGGGGTCACCATTAGTGTATCTACGGAAAACATGGTCTCTTTTCTTGCGATTTTGAGACGAAAATAGAACTGAATCAGATATTTGGTGTGTTTGCTTGTATTAATTTAGCATTTCACCCAGTAAACACTGTTGTTTTTTTTTTTTTTTAAAGCATATACATTTTTTTTAATTTAACGTCATATAATCACTTGCTGTTGTTTGGATTCAGTGTGAGATATATAAATATGTGTTTGTGACAAACTTGAGCTCACTGCCTAAACTATAAACTGGGGCTGTGATTATTTATCCATATTTTAAATGTAAATACTTTTCATTCATTATTAAGAAACACTAAATATACCACAATAAGTCACATGTGATCCTTACACCAATAAGCTAAACATCATCTTAACTGATGATATTAATGTTCCATATATTCACCCATTACTGTTTTTCGACATGATAAAATACCAAATTAGTTTTTTGATGTGGGATTCATTTTAAAAAGCTGTTGCGATGAAACTTTCACTGAATAATTAACCTCAAATCATCATTCAAATGAGTCAGTTAGTCCACTAAATTACCTGTTGTTGTGTGTAGTGCAGGATGACAGGCACACTAGAAACCAAGAGGAATATGGGGGAGCAGTCACAGGGCAAAGAACCAAACCCTCATTTACCACCACCTTCTTTTTAATGGCTTGCTCAGACGAACCACGACGTTCAAACTGCCTGTTTTCCTTTCACCTTAGTGTTCGAAGGTGGGCTGCTGCTTCCCTGTGGACAGACACACACACTCCTCTATGGATGGAACGTGTTCCTCTTCCGTGACTGATCTAAATTTAAAATTTCACATGTCTGTATTTTCTCACAGTTTTGCAAGAAAGTTCGAGGTTAGTTTGAAAATGAGCCGGTGTCCTACCCCATTGGGAAGGACAAAGGGAAGAGTGTGAAATTAACATTCATAGCTGTGGGAATACAATGGAGTGTGCAGCCGTGAAAGAGGATGTATGAATACTCAGAAAAGCTCCCACCCTTTTAAACAAAACTTTTATAAAAAGTGACTCACTGAATATAACAATATAAAACCTTAACAACAAATAGGCCCGATGACTTTGTTTTGGAGTCTACTTAACTACTACTGAAATTGTTAAATAGCTTACAGCATTAAAGTAAATGCACCTGAAGCAACAACATCTAGAGTGCTAAGCAAAAATATGAGATGAGCAAAGTAAGATTTAAAAAGTATGAAATGCACCACGTAAATCTTAAAGCTAAAGCTTTAAAAAAATAAATCATTTAACTAACAATTGACGATTAATCGTTACTCATCGTAACATTAAGAAGCAGTTTAAAAAATGGCCGTCATAATTTCCCAGAGGCCAAAGTGAGATAGTCAAATGTCTTGTTTTGTCCAACAAGCAGTCCAAAAACTAAAAACTAATTATTTAATATACTATTACGCAAAGACAAGGAAAAACACACAACTTTGGCAGCAATGCTACTTTGCAAGGCGGTGGCGTGACCATCTGGAGCAATTAAGGGTTCAATGTTTAGCCCAAGGACACGTCAAGGAACTCTGGATGCCAACTCCGTGATTAATGGGCAACAGTGACATGATATTGTTATTTTCATTTTATTGACCAATTGATGGATTGACTAATCGTTGCGACTGTAAAGAACTATATAAAACATTCAGTTATGTAAGTCAAACTGTGTGTTATGAAAATCAAATGTGTTTCTGCTCTCCGGTGGACGGCGTAATGGTGGCACTGGTTTCATGTTTTACTTCAGTGGTTTGCTGTGTTATTATGTGTAATGTACCTCCATTGTTTTTTATATAATATCTGTGAACAAAGGGGGCTGTCAGTCTGTTGTTGTTGTTATGACAGGAGTTTTTGGATTGAATTCAGACAGCATCTCTTCATCCGCAGTAAAATAAAAAAAGTTTACAGTTGACAGCAGCACTTCAGAGCAGCTGTGTACTTGTTAGATGTCACTGAAACGAAGACAAAACAGTCACTTTTTAAATAAACCTGGAGCAGCCTTTCTTGCATCGCTCGCTGACACTGGCTGTCAATGTGAAGATTATTAATTGGAACCTCTTCTGCATGCTATTTATTTGTTCGTGCTCCTCTGTGGTTCACCGGCTGACAACTCTGTGCATTGGGAGAATATTTAAGTGTTTTATCAGAGTGCAGTTGGGTGCTTTTGACAGCTTGCATACCCAGAGCACAATGGGTTACAATGAACAATGAATCTGAAATGGCTCCAGCTTTATATAGCTACAGTGATCAATTGACTCCAATACTGATCCAGCAGATTGGCTCAGGCTCCTTTACTCAGTAGTTTGAGTTGTCCTCTGGTTCTTTGTTTCCTCCCTGATCTCAGTTCAGTCTTGTGTTATATTTTCTCCTTCTTCTAATGATGAAGCCTACCAGCACCGTGAAGTGTAAGAAAATTTTTTCCCCATTTCTCTACCGTCCCATCAGACTGTATCTTCTTCTTTCTCTGGAAATTATATTAAAATATTTACATCTAAATTGTATCTAGTCATTTCAGTGAATAGAGCATTTCAAGGACGGCTACAGTGATTTAGATTAATTTCCATATAAAGTGCAACTGCAGCAGCATTATATACGTCAAAACTAATCTGCTGCCTTTAATGAAACCTGCCTTAAGGTATTACTGACCATGCTGTCATACTGTGCAGCTACACAGTACAGGTGCACACTGGGAATAGAGCAGCTTCTACTGGGTTTGTTTGCGTACATGTTAGAAATGGTCCACCTCCCTCTTTGGGATTTCCTTTATCACTGTGGCTCCATTTCCTGTTGTTGAATTCCTTTTTTCCCACAGCACCTCCAGAGAAAGTGGAAACTGTTCAGGAAGGGTCAGGTCAGCTTTTCCGTACCTTGTTTTATTTATTTGTTTGATTATTTAATCAAGGCAGCTTATGCTGCAATAGCTTGCAATTTCTACCAGATCCCCTTGGTTTTTCATGCATAGATTCACTCTTATCCAAACATCGATACACTTCTGCTACTGTGCTGCAATTAATAGTCTGATCAAAGCTTTTATAAAGCAGCATATCATTGCAAGTTTGATCCACATTTGCATCAGCTGCACAGTTTTTGTGAAAAGGGGAAAACATTGCAAAAATATTCTTAATAGGAGGAATTTAAAAATCCTAGAGAGACTGTCCTTGCAGCTTTTTAACTGGTTGAGATGAAGCCTGAACAAAAGGCTCAGTAAAGTCTCTTTGAAGAGTGTCTAATTACTGACAAAAGCACCTGGACCTCTGCCAGATCTCATAGACTGGCTAACAGAGCCCTGTTAATAGGGTCTATTGAAGATTTGAAGCTTGGGTCTATCTGCTACCTCCACGCCTTCTACTGTCGTCTGTTTTATTCTATTGTTGCTTTGGGCTTTGCTTCGCTGTTTTTGTTTGTTTAGTTAAAGAGTAGAGAAGGAATAGGACATACATGGCGAAGCAATGATTGGCTCAGAAACACTGAATTTAAGTTAATATGTTTGACTGCGGTTAAAGCTTTTATTGCAAGTTTCATTACTATGGCAAAAATAGAAGCAGCTGACTTAAAAAAGCTTTAGCATAAACATAAATGACATAGCTGCTGATTGAATTCAGTTCCTTTATGTAATGATGCTTTATTTGAACTTTCCATTTGGCCTCAGAGGGAGGATGCTATGTTTGTATAATGAAGAAGGACAAAGCAGTGGGTGGGCAAAATGAGTGTGGTGGGGAATCTATTTGTTGGATAGGATAGGACTCTCCACCTAAACATGAACCAAGCAGTCTGCTTGTGAGCATTAGTTCTGCATTGGATTGGTCTGGACGCATGAGATAGACGCCGTTTTCCATTTTCAGAGCTCATTTATAATAAAAAATGCTGTTTGTCAACTTCTGGGCTTTGTGTTCTGTCACAGACTATTAAAGAATTTTCAAAAGACTCCTCTCATGAAAATTGCAAAATAGAAAATGGAACTGTTTTGTTACACTACTGCCAGAAGTAGCAGATGTGTTCAGTATGAATCATGAGTTTGGTGCTGAGAAGTAGGACTTTTATTGTTTCTTGTTCCTGTTTACAGTCTCCTGAATATGGAAAGGAAAGATAACCTTTCGTTGGAAATGAGGACTTTGATCTCAAGTTCAGTTTAATATTCAAATAAACATTTTATAGTTATATAGTCACTGGTATACTATATTAAAATTACATTACTCACAAATTAAGTGATGTAACTTTATATAAAACTGATCAGTGTTTTTAATGATTAATTTCACATTGTGCACTGAAATTGTGTATTTCTTCCCTCACATGGAACAGTGAAAGTACAAAAATCTTACTGTGCTAACAATATTCAGGTAATATTCAAGTAATTTTCTCCAGGGTTGACTGATTGAGAATCCTCTCTTCTGTGTTTTGATGGTCATTTCCAAGAATCGTGCGCAACATTGAAGATGGCTGGCTGCACAAATTAGTGTGTGGAGAACAGAGCAACAGAGGTGTCTGCAGCAAAAAGAAGAAAAACGGTTGCTGCTCAAGTAATGTGCATGTTTGTAGGAGGTATATGAGCAATGAGCAGTCATGTTATTACATTTTTGTATTAAAGCCTGACCCTGTGTTTCGACCTCAATAGGAGAGGGAGCAAGTAATTTCCCTTTTTTAAGGAACAAATGGATCTTTGATACTGATGCATTGTATTTAATTTAAATAAAAATGTACAGTGGCACCTTTGTGGCTGCAGTTTACATAACCAAATAATTTTTATGGTCATGTCGTGACAACAAGGCTTGTAATCGGTAAACGCACTTCCAATTTGACATGTTGGGTGTCATATTTATTTAAGAGTGGTTTTACCAGTCTGTCTAGTTAGACCTAGAAGCCTTTCTGTAAAATTTCCCACACAGCTAAAGTGTGAATAGAAGCTGTCACGTTGTCAGGAAATGCATGCACAAGAATACAAAGTTCTTGCATATCATGGTTTTGTTTATAGTGTGCAAAACAAGACCAAGGGAATCAAAAGTTACACCATGCTCCTGCAGTGATAATGAGATAGTTTAAGGAGCAGATTTGATGCAGTGCAAGCTACACAGTGCAGTAAACAGTCCGTTCCCTGGTACATTATACATAACTTGCTGTGTTGCCCCAGATAAGAAATATTGCGCAAACATTGCGTCTTTTTTCTGAATCCTGTTACGTATGAACTGAGTCAGCATGTACATTTTCCACCAAAGAGACCCACCTTAGGTATGTGTGAAAACCAAACTGGTTTCATACAGGATTTTGTGTGTGATTGAAAAGCGGATAAGGAAATTGAAGATATCACATACACCGCCTTATGACGCAGGAGAAAATAGCTTTGTGCTATCTGACTGAAAATCACATGTAATGAAGTCAAATTTGATCCCTGAACACAACTGAGTCTTTGTCACCCAGGCTGTAGTGATCGTTTTCAGTCAATACTGCCATTTTCTTTAAAACAGGAAGCTGCTAATAAAGTCTGACTGAGGGAAGCAACTCAACAACTGCCTGTCTGTCTCTAAAACTGCCTCAAACTAATTAGATGTGGTATTAATGTCATGTAGGAGTAGGTTTATGACACTACAGAGATGTGAATCTCCTAAAAATCTGAAGATCCATATTTATTGATTCAGTGAAGATGCATTTGAGCAGCTGATATGATGGCATTCATTTTAGATTAGATTGCACATTACACAGTTAGGAAAAGAAACGTCAATCTTGGCATTACAATAAGGATGACAAATGTATACAGTATGGGCACACAAGCTTCATAAGTTTCACATTTTTCTGCGACATGATGTACCACCTTCATTTATCCTCTCATTGTCGTCTGCAGGAGAAAAGAGACTAAAATGCAGAGGCAGTAGGACACATTTTTTTGAATATGGTAGATAAGATTTTATTCCTTCCTCCAAAAGTCCACAAGCTGACAACGCCAGCACAACGAAAAAGTTTAGAATGCCACTTTTTTAGACATATTCTTAATTTATATTCTGAGCATATACAGTAAGGAGACTGTGAGAGTCCCAATGGCCTGGAAATGGTATGCTACTTTGCTTTGTTTATCGCTCCTTTTTCCCCCTAAATTATAATTATTTATTTAGGCTTTTTGTACCTGTATTCGGATAGTGACAGCTTTAAGACGGTGAAGTGGGGAGAGAGAGGGGGGATGACATGCAGCAAACGGCTGCAGCCTTTCTCTGCCTCAGTACACAACACTCCAGCAGGTGAACAACCAGGGCGCCCTGTTTATCTCCCTTTTTGATGATCTTTGGAGTACAAATATGGACAACTTACTAGATATTTCTTCTCACCCAAGCACAGAATGCACAAGCATATTGGTGGCCAGTTGGATGACGTCTTTTTAACTGAAAACATTTGCTGACATATCCATCTGTTTGTCAGCAGTAGCTGCCTTTATGTGTCAGGGCCCATAATTGTATCACTCCCTAAGTGCACATGGAAAAATCTCTCCCAGTCTCCCAGTTTTGTGTGTAAACTGCCACAGCTGCACCTCAAAGGGCTGATCTCATCCTCCCAGTAAGAATCGGATGAATTCTGGTGGAAACGTCTCCTCCACTTAGACTGATTCTCGCCAGTCATGGGAGCGACACTAACACGAACAGCCACACACAAACCTTTCTGCTCCTTGAAGTCAAATTATTCCATTATGGCGTTATATCATGGTAGTGTTGAATTGGCATCGCTTCAGTGTAGCAGCTAATGTGACCTTCATTACTTCTTTCCTTTTTTTTACTCTTGTGTCTCTAGTGATCTGCAGAGGCGGAGAGAGAGAGGTGCACTGTGATTTGGTTGTCCTTCACATCAGGTGCTCTGTCCTTGCAGCAGGCAGTTCTCTGTCTTCCTTCTCTGACATGTTTTCTTTTCCTGTACTCGTGTACCCAGGCGTTTTGCTGTACACCAAGCACGATTCTGCAGAGGGAGTAAGATGCAGGCTTATTTTCACTGTATGCATTCTGCTTCTGTCAACACTTTCTGCGGGAGTTCGCTCAGTATGAAAGGCTCCTGCAGACTTGGGTTACTGTTGTGTAGCTAGATTTGTACTGAATGTGTACCTCCTGTGTATATTGTTTGTGCGCATACATGTTTAGGTGTACCCGGAAGCATAATAGATCCTGGTGCATTCCATTTCACACCAATCTAGAAATTTTAATTAGTCCCGGGTTGCTCTGGAGTTCATCAGCGAGTCTCATTAGTGAGGAGTCCACGATACCCCTGTGCCTCTAATCTCCCTCTGTCTGCTGTTATCCTGCTGAGAATTTGGATCTCTATTAATTTATTTGACGTGGTGACCCTTATGCCCAGCACATAATTATTTTTATTTATTTATTTATTTATTTATTTTTAATATTACAGGGGGCACTTTGTGTGTTTGTATTTTCTTTTGCTGAGCATCACCTCACCTTTTTGTTTGGTTAACTAATTTCTACATGTATTTCTGTGTTTGTATGCTTCATGTTTAGGTGACTTGGGCAGAGCAACAGGTGTCGAAACGGAGGAAAAAGAGGGATGTGTACACAGAACCTTTTGATCCCAAGTTCAGAGACCAGTGGTACTTGGTGAGTATGAACACTGCTGAACAGAAACTTTATTGGACAAAAGGCTATGTGTGTATTATTCTCTGTGTGTGTGTGTGTGTGGGGAGGGACAGGGCATAATTCAGCACTGCACACTGCTTGAGCTTTTTTTCTACCAAAAGTCAATACAGGTAATTAAATTTGGGGCTGTGATGTTTCCCCTGAGTTACAAAGACAAGCCTGTATGAATCCAATATAGCGTCTTTGTGTGAAATGCTGTTTTGTGTCTTGTTTGCAAAAGAAGGTGCACAAGTCTGGCTGACTTTATTTAAAGGATTCAGCTTGGACACTAACAATACACATAGTGCCTTTCAATTCTGAATTGCATGCTTTTTGAACATTGGTAGTTTACTTCAGTCCATAGGTAACACAGCAACAAAGAGAGAGAAAACGAAGGTGTTTCACCTTGAAGCGCTCTTGTTTTCAGTTGATTGATTTTCACGTTTGACTTGAAGAATGTCACTGATACATTGGCCCTGTTAAAAACAGCAGTAACAACCCCTGAGATTCTCTGTTCGGCTCCACTTTTCCTTCAATTACTGTGAGAATGCTTCAGGCGGAAGAAGATTCATGGTGATGCAAAACAGACTTGCATCATCAGTTGTTCAAAATGTCTGTGCTTTAACAGAGGCGGACTGACTTCCCCAGTGTGGTGCAGTAGTTAGTGGCAACTTGAAAGGCAAATGAGGTAGATAAAAGCCTGCTGCCACATTGTATCAATGTGACTGGATGTAATAGATTCTACCATATGTTCATAAATGGTATTTCACTGATAGTAAAACCTGTCTGTGTTACATATGTTCTAATCGCATTTTTATCTTTTAGGGCTGCTATTAATAATTGTTTTCATTATCAATAAATCAATCAATGAAAAAAACTAATAGGTCAAAGTGATGTTTTAAAGTCCAAAACCCAAAAATATTTCACTGACTCGTATCACATTTGAGAAGCAGAAACCAACAAAATTTTGTTTGAAAAATGACATGAAATGATTAATCGTTATTTTAGCATTAATCTGAAGCTGATGGGAATTAGGAAACTTGTTGTTGTCGTTTTTGAAGAATTGTATCACAAACTGAATTGTTGTTGACCAGTCGACATTTTAATGTGTTAGTGGGGCTGGAAGGAAAGTAAGAGGATTACCCGGATTCATCCATTGATTACGAGGACTTCACCAAATTTAATGGCAGCCCGTCCAATGTAACATTTCACTCTGGACTGAAGTGTTGGACCGACCTCCTGACCAACATCCCCGGTGCCACACTTCCAATTAGCATTGCTAAAAAAAATTTTGATGGCCTATAGCTCTGTGTTATCTAACAGAGCGGTTTCCTGAACAACTCCGTGGAGAGAGAACAAATGCATGAAAATGCTTAAAAATGCAATTTTTTCTGGTTTACCCTGAACTCCACAGTCATTTGACTTTGGTTTGTTTGTGGATGTTCTCTGATTCAATTTTAAGATTTCAAGATCAGAAATTATTGTAGACAGGTCCTATACTGCCCAAATATCTACACTTGGCTGAGTTACAGAAAAAAACCAACCCTTTCTCTCATTCTGGAAATACATTCTGTGTACTTTAAATAATAAGTAATTGTGATGATATATTTTGCAAGTGCAAAGATGTAGCAAAAGGTGCAGAAATAGGCTGCCTCTCCATACAGGCACATAAATAAGTCTGTGCCTCATTAAAACTGAACCTGGCTGGCCAGAGGAGAGTAGGTGGGTCTGCTGGCAGGGTGTCCTTGGTGGACGGATGCTAATGGTCAGCATCATGTTACAATGAATATTTAATATTTTCTGATATTTATTTATCTAATTGATGGGCAAGCCTCAAAGCAGAGATCTCTAGCTGTACACATGCACAGGTGTTCAGTGTACAGAGGGAATGCTGAAATTAAGGTAGAAAGAAAAGGACTGATTTGAGAGCAATATTCAAAATAAAACCTTGTACTTGCCTCTCTCTCAGATTTTTAATACACTCAGCATATCAGCAACAAAAGGCCTTTTTCAATCTGAATTAGCATTGCAGATCACAACTTTCAGCTTTAATAGATTTTCCATATGATGGCGTCAATGACGCTACAAGGTTTGCGGAGCAGACATCATCCTGTGTGATTGACTGCACTAAAAAGGGGCTGAAATCTAAGAGGAGAATATGGCGGTATGACGGTACATCAGACATACGACACACGATGGTACGGTTTTAAAAAAAAAAGAGCTTTGAACTAGATGAAAGCCAGACATGGCTTTGGACCAAAGGTCAAGTTGAATGTCAGAAGCATATCAAAAAGCATACAGAATCATTAGGCCTACTGTGTGCCATCATCCAGTTCACTGCTGTGTTGCGGTATTAATAATAAATGCAATAAATGCAAGCATGACACTGATGCTCTCAGAATAGAGATACTCTTTGTAACCTTGCAATACATCCCTCTCCTTATAGAGAAACTTTAGCTATTACTTAAGGAAAAATAAGATGGACCTTTTTTCCCCTGATGCTTCAGTCAAAATCTCAGTCTTCATCCAAATGTCTAAAATGATTGCCCTTATGTTTTTTTTAAGCCCTTCCAGATTTAGTTAAAAGCACATTCTTGTCAGCATTCAGGTGTCTCTCAGATAATTAGATTCCTTCTCAACCGTTATTTGCTTTCTCCATCCTCAGTACAACGGCAACCACCGTGACTTGAATGCCAAAGCTGCGTGGCAGTTGGGCTACACAGGTAAAGGAGTGGTGGTGTCCATTCTGGATGATGGAATAGAGAAGAACCATCCTGACTTGATGCAGAACTACGTGAGTACTACTCCTAAATAAGCTGAAACATTCTGTTTTCTACGGAGAAGATGTGTTACTGCAGCAGCAAAAGAATGAAGACGAGCAGAACAAATAGAGCAGACTTTAAATTAAAGATAGTATCTTCCTTGTGCCAGAATTGAGTGGCTGATGGATTTTAAGAATTATTTCCGTGCAAACAGATTTTGAAATGTTAACTTTTGCATTTTGAATGTACCACACTCAGAAAAATCAGTTTAGGCATCCGAGTCTAACAGCTTATCTGTATTTTTTAAGGACCCAGATGCCAGCTACGATGTGAACGATGGAGACCCTGATCCTCAGCCTCGATACACGCAGCTTAATGACAACAGGTAGAAAGCTACACAGATAACAATTTAATTTCCACTCTTCTCTTTGTCTTTTGGAATTCCCTGAAACCACCCACTTGTGTTTTATAAATGCTGGCTGTGTGGGGGGACATGTCAGGATTAAATTGCACTTGTTCATTAATTTGTCCCCCTTACTGTTTGATGGCTGACAGATGACATGTAAATAGGCCAATGGCTGTTTCTCATCCACTGTTGAGTCGAAGGGCAAAGAAAAACTAATTAAAGGCCATAGCCTATGGGGGTTGTTTTGTCCAAGACATTTTAATTTTCCGCCATTTAATGCTTTTTACTCTCCAAAAATGGGCAATTACATCCTAATATGAATCCTGAGCCCAACTCAAGAGTTTGTGGATTTGTTTTGGCCTCCTAAATCACACAGGCACCGCCAGGGCATCTCTATAACCTGGGTAAGTAGAGTAAATCTACACTAGGATTAAGGTAGTGTGTGAAGAAAATGGCTTTATTGCAGTGGCCTCTGCAGATGGCATTAGGAGTTGTTTACCACCACAGTGATGTCTTGCAGAGAATTGATTGAATTAAGTTCATCAGCATTAATGAAACAGAGCAAATCTCTTGGCTCTGGAGGGCCCTTGCTCGTCTTCCTTCATTCCCACTGCCTGCCTCCCTTGTGACTTTAATTTCTGATTTGCTGTAATCTGCTGTTTGTGGGCCACTAGTCTGAGAGGCTTTTTATTTCAAGGCTCACCATGATTACTAGTGATTGGCAGGGAAGATTATAGTTGGAAGGATAGATGGAAATCAAACGTTCCCCAACTGAGACAGGGGCTTGGAGCGGGCACAATGAATATGGAGGCCAGAAGTGTAACAGAGCAAGAATAGCCTAAACATAACTATGCTAAGTAGCAGTTTCAACTCCTTAAAGGCTTTGTGGAGCGCATAAGAGGTAGAGGTTGATTGTGGAAGGTGTGTAATTGTTTTCATATTCCAAATAAAGTATACTTCCTTGGGTCAGAAACAAACATCCCACAGTTATCGGTAAAAGTTTTGATAAACATGGAAACAGTTCAAACAATGTGCCGTCACTTTCTAATTCAGCCCAATTGAGTGTTTTGTGCCAGTGCCTGAAACTGTTTTCACCACCACCATCAACTAAACCCTAAATGGTGGAATTTCTTTGGGAAGAATGTGGGAGAACATCCCTCCGGTTCAGCTCCACAGATTCACAATCTGTGCCAAGGCACGCTTAAGCTCTTCTGGTGGCTCATAGTGGCCCAGAGCCCAGCTAAGACACTTACTATTGATGTTTGCTTCATTTCAGCTGCACCTCTTTCCAACCCTCGCTCACCTCAGCCCTTATCTCCTGCCACCCAGCTCTCCGTGTCTTCCTTGTGGCAGGACCAATTGAGAGGGGGCATTTCTCTCTCTCTCTCTCTCTCTCTCTGTGTGTGTGTGTGTGTGTGTCTGTGTCTGTGTCTGTGTCTGTGTCTGTGTCTGTGTGTCTGTGTGTCTGTGTGTCTGTGTGTGTGTGTGTGTGTCTGTGTCTGTGTGTCTGTTTCTCTTACTTTTTACAGTGGGTTGGTGCTGATGCATGTGTAAACAACTTGTGGGCGGGCATGAAAATGCGTAAGGTTGTATAAGACTGTAAGTGGCTGTTCCCTGCAAAAAGCCCAACTGTGTTCACCTCTATAAAGCTGTCTTTCTTTCCCAGCATACGGGAAGCAGCGAGGATGGCTCTATAGCAATGTGACCATTCACCCTCATGTTTATCTAAGCATGTGATCTAGATGTTTCTCTTTCCAGGGTTTCCTCTGACTCCTATCAGAATGGTTTCCAAATGTGCATTTTCTGGATTAAACCTGTATAAACTGGCACTGGCGACTTTTTAAATTTTTTTTAAAAGAAATACTCAACATTTTGCCTCCTGATTTAGAGCAAGGCTAGCTCTCAATATGATTTATACTATTCCAATATCACTCTGTTCAACATGTGCAATAAACAGATTTTTTTCTTGATGATGATAATTATGATGAACAGGCAAAAATAACTAAACAAAACAAGGGGGCAGTTCAGACTTGACTACACATGTAAATACAGAAATATTTAATGTGCAGTGATTGATGAAGGGACATATTTAACACTAAGGCATACAGCAGGCTGATTAATTTTCACCAGACCCTACATTAATCTCTCTCTAGACATTTTCTTCATATTCCTCTCTTCACCATGCTCTATAAACATCACCAGACCTTTTGTCCTGAAGGCCAGCTCATTAGTAAACTGGCAGAACCATTAACAGACTTAAGAATGAGCAGAGCATAACAGTTGTGCAGATTTACCTTTGAGGTTCAGTGCAAACCAGAGACTAATGAACAGCGAACGCCACTGTCCACAGCCTCAAGAGCTTCAATGATTTTTTTAAAAGTAATTAAACTAATGAAAGAGAGAAAAAGGGTGTGAATGAAAGATGTTGTGTTCTACACTCTGAATATAGGTGAGAAGTGGCACTTAGAAGATAAATAAAATAACAAACAATATTTCACACTATAGTTGTTTTTTTGTTTGTTTTTCATGGTTTTCTTCATCACATATCCTTGTAGTCATCTTGCTGTAAAGTCACAAATTTGTAGGTATCACAAACTACCGAAGCCAAATGTAGAACTTGTCAAGTATTACACATCACATGTGACACCAGAGGATCACAAGAAAACCTGCAGCATCAGTGGCAGATCTTTATATAATAAGCCTAAAAGCTGCTTTTATGCCATTTTCTGGCCATTGCAGGTTTGGGTGAACACTTTTCCGGGCTTTGCAGACACAGTTTGGATATTTCTGTGTGACAATAGCATGTCTCTTTAGGAAGTCTCCACAGACGGGTAGTTTAGGCTTTACACAGTGATAATGGTTCTGCCAGCTGTGGGTATGAATACTGATCATGTTGTTGGCCTCGGGCCTGCAGCCAACTGTAGTTCGCTGTAACCTGAGTTAGTCTCTGTGCATAGAATATGCCAGGGGCCTTGTTCTGGCCGTAATCGGTACAAGACTTTACTGAAATTGCTCTTTGTTTACCATAATCTCCTGTTATCACCATTACGTATGACGCAGAGTCCTGGGTTATTGCACAATGTATCAGATACAAAAGGTGTTTTGAAGTTTCTATGAGACTCTCCTGTTTCTTTTTCAATTGAGATTTTGTTAAGAAGGATTAGTGAAGGCATAAAAGTGGTTCAAATAAAAAACAGATGTTATTCACGCTCTGCTGGCATAAGTGTGTTCAGATGAATGGACAGTTTGCATTATATTGGTAATGTGGCAGGCACCCACAGTAGCTAATGGACTGTTGCTTCATTTAGTTTTGTTTTGGTTCACTGGAAGCTCGTCTAAATTAGACCGGTGGAGTATTCATGCTGTGTCTAGACATGAGTGTGTCAAGTTTTATTAATTAAAAGGACAATGTGATGAAGCATTTGATAAATTAAAAGCTTTAGACTGATTTTATTTATGTAAAAATAAATATTGAATTTGCTTAAACAATTTATACCAAGTCATACGAAGTCATGACCCGCCCTTATCTGACTCTGACGAGTTTTACCCGAATCATACAACTATAGCAATCATACAGGTTTGTTAAAAATGTTTTATAGCACCAGAATGGATAATAGTGGTTAGTGGTTTTTAAGGAAGTGGGAGCTGATGAGAGTTGAAGTGTGGTCCTATAATTGAGGTTTGACAGTCTGAGCCTGTGTGTCAGACAGATATTGCAGCACTGATAATTAATCTGTGTCACTTGTTAACAACTGATTAAACAATGCTGTACTTGTAGTGACAGACAGCTCTTTGTTCCTGCCGACAATGTCTGAGAGATGTTTCACTTCATGTGATGATCTCTGCGCTGTGCTGTCACCTCTTTAGCCTCCTCTGTAAACCCTTGGCATGGAGGGTGACCCCAGGTTTGGTTTAATGTGATATTTGTCTCGTCAGGACGTCACATCAGTAGAAATGTGTGCATAGAGACAAATTGAGGACATTCAGTCATGCCTTGCCCTCATTGTCAGAGTAGTGGTAGCTCCCTTAGGCATCCCATCATGACTGATCATCCTGTTGACAGATGAACTCACAGAGTCATGGTTTCTTATTATCTGTGGTTTAATTCTGCATTTGGGAATTTGGGCCGTAAAGTATTAAAATCTTTACCATTTCTACCATCATAAATGAACAGTAATCAGTGAAGCATTATAATGGCTTAGGGCTGTGCGCGTAATGTTACTGCGATGAATACTATCTTATTAAAGGTCAGAGTAAGTTCAAGATTTTATTAGTTTGTATAGAGCATTGGTTTTCAAACGGTCTCCAGCTAAATGAGGAGCAGAATATTTTAACTTTTAGCACATTTTTTTTAAGTTGGAACAACAAGGGAGGAAATAAGGTTGGTCTTGGTTTTGATTTATTGTAATTTATAGTGATCCTAGTTTGATCATTGATTGACTATGAAGACTTTTAATATCTTCTAACCTAAAAAAATAACTCTGAGGGGATTTCTTAAAACAAAATCCTGTCAAACTGGGGGTCCATGGTCTAATGTGCGCCTATTGTGACATGAAAACGCATGTATTGTAAAAGTATTTTGTACTGCTGCTGAACTTCCTTCATGTGGTTTTAGAGCCAATTCTATTGTTCAGTTCAGTTTCAATTGTCTCGCTTGCTTACCAAAATTGACATGCCATAATTATAGCAGTATTCATCTTTTGTGAAAGTGTCGGTTTGTTGTTAAGACATCCTTGAAAGATAGAACAAAACTGGGGTATCATAGGTAGATATGAAAGGGTAGTTAATTAATCAGTTAGTTGATAGACCAATAACCTGCAACTACTTTGAGTCATTTTTTTAAGCAAAATCCCCCCCAAAATACTGTGTTGCCAGTCACTATGTGACAATTGAATATCTCGATTTTGGACTGTTTGGTTACATTTTATAGACAAAACTATTAATAAGTTAATCTAAATTATTGACAGATTATTTAATTATGAAAATGAGTCAGTTGCAGCCCTACTCTTAGGATACTTTTGTATCCTTTTGGATTGTAACTCAATTTTGACATTGTAATTCAGACATTTCTGAAATCAATTACCTGTATAGCTAAAACATTAGTGATACATTTCTAAAGATGGTGCTTAATTGAGTCATTTCCGATATATAGGCTACCACTGCTAATGTCTCTGTCACCATAAACCATCATTTGACCTCGAATGTCATTTGCTGAACTAAACACCCTTGATTGGATTCACTGAGAGCAGTTCTGCTCAGTATCTGCAAATCGATAGTTAAATGAAAATGCCTTCATGTTAGAGACTTGTGCATGTTGAATAAATTGCAGAGAGCAGGCTGATTTCATAAAAGTGTTTGAGCCACTGATGCACTCTTCCTCATATTCTTATTGACTCGAACAGTGAGTGGGAGCAATGAAAGGATATCTTCTTGTATCCATTTTATCATTCCCAAGAAAATCACTCCCAAAAACCTGATTATGCAAGTAGTTCTTGCATAATCAGATTCCGAGACCGAGAGCTTCACCTCTGTAACAGCATTTGTATGCTATGAATCAGTCCACAGTGTAAATGAGTGTAATGAATGTGTCAAAGGGAAGGTTTGAAAAAAGAAAAGGCTCAGTTGAACACTGTTGGAATAGGCCTGTGCATGCCCGGCATGCCATCGCAGACACCTGAGCTTCTCCTTATTATCAGCTGCATCACAAACACGGATGCTGTAGGACATACCACTCCAAAGTCAACAGACTTTCCAGGAAAGTCAAGATAAAGTTCTCTGGAAAAGTGTGTGTCTATGTGTGTTTTAACATGTTTACTTTTGTCTTGTTTTTAGTATCCAGCAGCTAATGTAGCCTCTGACTCCATCTAACCGGCATCTTGTGACACATTAGAGATGTGGTGCCAATGGCAACAACTGTGGCATTGACATTAACCTCCGCCCTCTCAGCTCATCACCGTCTCTAAAGAGATCTCTCGAGGCCAGCAGATTAATTACAATACTCTGACCTTCTGTCATTATGTGACATTATGTGTCTTTAATGAAAGCAGAAGTCTTAAGGATTATTAGAATTAGTCTAATAAAAATGTGTTACGGCCTCTGTGACCCCTGATCACTCTATTGTGAAGAGTTTAATTGCACTTCAGGAGATTCAATTTGTGGAATTAATGATTTCTTTAATACGCATTAAAAACTTATATCTGCAGTTTTGGCAGACTACCCTCAGATTAAATGTCCATATCCTGACAGCAGATATAGTCTACTGTGTCAGGGAAGGATATCTACTGCTGGTGTTTTGATTCTTGTGTTTTTTGTTTAGCTGGATATGAGTAGTGCTTTATTGTAAGCCTGCTGGCATAGATAGTTCTTTCAGTAGTGAATATCTGCTGTTTCTGTCGTTTCCTGGTGTGGCACAGTGTTTCCTTGGCTCCAGCATTCCTGTGTGGGAATTGCTGTGCTCCAGTGGGGGTTGTGCCATGGTTTGAAGGGCATTAAGAGTGCATATCCATCTGGCAGACCAGGGGAATGCACCTGACTGGAATGTGAAGATCAGCTCCTCTGTAAGCAGCTTCTTGGATCTCTACACTACGGTGCCTGGAGCTAGATCTTACTACAGAGGCTCAGGCTTAGTGAAGGACCCATTGTGTAAATGGCAAATCTAATTCACAATTTCCTCCCCTGTGTGACGGTAGTATGTCATCTTATTTCCCTTTTCCCTTGACTTGATTCAGGACCCGTAAGGCATTCCAAGGTTACTAATGCTGGAAGGCCATAGATAATGTATGATGATCTCCACTTACTGACTGAATGTTTTCTTTCGGACAAATTGGAATTCAGATTTGTTTAAATGAATCAAAGCCAAGAACCTGTCTCCATGAGTTTGTTTTGTCTCAGTCTACAGCTAGACCACGGTACACAAGGGAGTACATTCTTTCACAAGCAAGAGCTGTTAAACATGTATGCTACCTGTCGGTATATATGCCCGTCGAGGCAGACTGCCGCCCACCTAGAGCCAGGGTCTGCTTGAGGTTTCTGCCTCTTAAAAGGAAGTTTTTCCTTGCCGCTGTTGTCGAGTGCTTGCTCATGGTGGGAACTGTTGGGTCTCTGTAAATAATTTTACAAGGATTACGGGCTCTCTCTATTTGAAAAATGTCCTGAGATAACTTTTGTTTGAATTGGCGCTATGCAAATGAACTTGAATCAAATTGAATATAGAGTAAAGTGCTGTGTCGTTAAGTGAATGACACAAGTATTTTTGTTCAAACGTGTCTCTCATTTTCTGATTCCTCCCTCTCTCCAGGCATGGAACACGATGTGCAGGAGAAGTAGCTGCAGTAGCCAACAATGGGATCTGTGGAGTCGGGGTGGCCTACAATGCCAAGATTGGAGGTACGGTCAAATAAAAACAAGTAGATGATTTGTCCTCTCGGGGGCAAACCTTAGTCTCATCTCTGTTTCTTTTTTGACAGCCAGAATAGCTGAAATACTTGTTATCAAGTGCCAGTGTTATTTTCAGTCCATTTCCCGGGCACAGCATGCCACTGAATGTTAAGCATTACCACAGTTGTGATGTGGATTGCAAATGCACTAAGTGTTTTGGTTTTGCATGGAGTAACAGTATTCAAAAAGCACAGAGATATACAGTTTCTAAAATAGTATAGTGCGGTAGCTTTGAGAACATCAACTTCATGTTTCACATTTCAAATTTACTGTTCTCAGCTTATATATGGGTTAAACTAAAATGGCTGATGTAAGTCACTTCTAATCCATTTGCTGTAAATTGGTGCAGACAAATCATTAGTCAAACCTTTCAGTATACAGTCAAGTACAAACCCAACCCTACGTGTTGCTACCGCCACAAGAAATAACATAGTGGAATTAACACCTCTCTGACAGAAACATAACATTATGCGCTTCATAAGGTTGGGTTTTGTTCCAGTGCTGCTGTGTTGGGTTGCATTAGATTGTACAGCTGTACCTAATAAACTGCTAACTCAATGCATTGAGAGACATCTGGTTGTGCTGGTGGTGTGTCTAAAGGCAGAGAATGAGATAGAAGGGGGGTTGACTGTAGTACTGCAAACTTGAAAATACCGTCTTTATAGTTTGTTGAAGGTAAATCGCCCACTTTAAGATTGTTTTTGAAGCCATGTCACAGACATGCTGAAGTCAAATCATCGGAATACACATTTTGCAGAGCCTCGTTGACACCCTGCTGTGATGTCGGCCCCTGCTGTTCTCGAGCAACGCATGCTTGATGGTTGATTGTGTCACTCTGGCCAATGAAATTTCATCACCCAGTGTCTGTCACAACCACTGTGTGCATGTAGCGTGTTGCCGAGTTTCACCTTCCTCTGTTTTTATTTAAGAAAGTAAATCCAATTAAATAAAAGACAATGGCATGTTGATTTCTGTTATTTTTAGTGCTCTTTCTCTTTCTTTCACCTTCTCTCATTGTTTTTCATAAACAATTTGCATCCACATTTTCATCTAGCAAATGACCAAATGCTTAATTTATGTCATGAGTAGAGCTGAAACTATAAGTCAATTAGTTAACCTACAGAAAATTAACCAGAAACTATTTTTCAATTCTATTTTATTTGTATACCACCAAATCATAACAGAAGTTATCTGAGAACACTTTTAATATAGAGCAGGTCTAGACCGTACTCCTTTTTATAAGATAATTTACAGAGATCCAAGAGTTCCCACCATGAGCAAGCACTTGGCGACAGCAGCAAAGAAAAACATCCTTTTAAGAGGCAGAAGCCTTGAGCAGATTCATCGATTTTTCAAGCAAAATACTGTTATCTGGTTACAACTTGTCAAATGCTAGGATTTGCTGCTTTAACAGTTTATCATTTAAATTGAATATATCAAATTTATATTGGACAAAAGCCATCACCAAGGGCTCTGGAAAATTGTAGAGGGCATTTTTAAAAAAAATTTTAAACTATTTTTAAGACAAAGTTTTTAGATGATTAACCGAAAAATTAACAGCAGATGAATTGCTAATCAAAATAGTAGTTGCTGTGCTGGTGGGTGAGACGAGGAATGGAGAAAGAGAAAGAGGGATCACAGCTGAACTAAAACATGATTGAATTTATTTTTTAACAAGCCTGTACAGTGAATGTACAGCTCTGGTGTCAAAATTTGAATACACTAAGCAAATGGAACATGGTTTGAAATAAGAGACTTACTGTGGCAATTTGACTGCAGCACCACAATTAATTGCACCATCAATAGAACACATTTAAAGATGAAAGATTATTATTTAAGATTATGTATCGATGTCAGAAACACACAGTAGAATCTGATCACTTATGAGAAGATACAAAATAAATGAGAGTGGCAAAATATTGTGAAATATTAATTTGTTTGTTCTAAAAAAGGATTTTGCACCCTGATGGGTTGTTTTCCTTCTGCCTGTTGGGAGTAAACGGTTTTTCCTAGGTTTCTCTCCCCCATTCTTCAAAAGAAGCTTCATGTACGCAAGTCGGTTGTGTGTAGAACTTGTGTACATTATTCAATGTAAACAACATATTTCATTATTTCATGATGTTTCATTTGGGGGTTTTTCTCCCAGTATGGGTCCACATTTAATGGGCTATCAGGATCAAATGTGGTTGTTGGTATGGTCACATTGCTGCTGCATGTGCACATATGTTTCATATTGGTGATTGCTTATTTCTTGTTCCTGTGCTGAGGAACGTGTTGTCTGTTGTGGGCTCTGCTGGCTCCAGGATGAAGCATAATGATGTGTAGTCCTTTTTTTAAATGTAGGAGCTCCTTTATCCCAGTGCAAGCTCCTCTCATTAGCTCTCTGCTTATCTCAATATCCTCCTTCCTACATCCTGCTCTCATAAAGTTTGAACCCCGTCAGAATGATGCCATAACTCTAGTCTTTATGATCATTCCAGATGGCAAGTGGGAATACACCACATGGCATTCAGTTTTCTAACATTACAAGTGAGCTGTGTGTGGTCATGTAGGTGGAGCAGGAGGCGGCCCGGCGAAAAACCTACACATGTGCTTTTATCCACACTGAAGGCTCTTTTCCACCAGTATAATCAGAAACCAGAAACTAAAAAAAAAATCCACAAGTCTATTTGTGTTTGCTCTTCCACACCTCAAGAACTGTGAATGATAAAGATGTGTAATATTGAAATCATTACAAAGAGTGGAGCAAATATTTCAGACCTTCAAATCTCATTTATTTGAATATTATTTTTTTTGTTTTTAAATCCTAACCTTTAACCTTTCAAATCTCAGTTTGTTCTCATTTTATCTCAGTTGTTTTGATATACAATGTTTGATGGTGGTGAATACACAGCACACAAGTACATGAGAGTCCAGATTGTACAAGTTCTGCAGTAGTTCTCAACAGCATGAAGTCTGATAGCCTTCTCGAAAACATCAGAAACAAAAGGCAGGAAGCCAAATTGTCATTTTAAATCCACGGCAGCAGGACCATCGTATTTCTTTTGGTGGCCAGGGAGAATATATTAGAAAGGTATTGTGCAGAGGGAGCGGTGCAAAAGCTTCCGTGACTCCTCACTTGCCCCCATGCCACCTGCTGTACTGTGGCTCATTATTCAGCCAGGAGACTCTCCTGTGAAATATCTCCATGGTAGTTTCAAACACAGATTGGCTGGTCTGCCCAAATTAATTCGTTGGGTGAAAGTAGTCCTTCAGGTGAACTGAAAAAAAACAAACAAATACAGTTCCAATAAAAGTACAATAAATTAAGCACCAGGTTATTGCAGTTGTCTGTTCACAGCTGCATTGTCCTTTGTTTTATTTACGATGTCTCGCTGCGGCTGTTTGTTTCAGTCAACTCACCGATAACGTTCTTGCCAAAAGTAAGATGAGAAGATCAATACCACTCTCATAGCCATTCATTATATGTTACTCTACAGTTTCATATCAAACCACTTTTACTTGGTTTTACACTTAAGTTTTTGAATTAATTTAACAAATGAGATAGAACGTGTTATTTAATTGAGCTTTATAGGTGTTTGTATGTGGATTTTGTTACCTTTTGGACCGAGCAGGGTAGCTGTTTCCAGTCTTTATGCTACGCTAAGCTAACTGGCAGTAGCTTCATATTTACGGTACAGACATTAGAGTGATATTGATCTACTCAGCTAACTTACTTACTTAGTCTGAATGTGTTCTGACTTACAACTCCTAATATTGAATGGTTTATAATACCAGTCTTTGCATATACACAAACAAATCGATTGGACCTTGATGTATTATCAACCTTGGTCTGTGGTTTTGGGGATAGATGAATGTTTTGGGATGAGCACTGGAGATACTAGAGTCTCTTCAGCAATCACATGGCCCTCCAACAGAAGTGCAGGCTGCCATGGAAACACTAGCAGCTCAGTGCCTGTTTGATGCTTTTGGAGGACTTCAAAGCGCCGGTGCTTGGTTGCTTTAACCCATATAGAGCAGCATGGAGTAACCTGACCTGCAGTGCATCAAAGGGGGAAATTAGTTTGTTTTTAGGTGTCTTTGATTTCTCACCACTTTTCTGTGAGAGACATTGCTGAGACAGAAGGAATTCTGTTTCAAGAAAACCTTCTGACCATGAAGCAGAAATAATTGGTTAGGACACGCACCACACTGCATTGTTTTGTGTGTGTTTAATGTTGTATCTCTGGTACAGCATTTTATCAATAATCACTTTAAATACCTTTTTTATAATTAATCCTTAGATGAAGCCTGCACTTAAACTTTGGCTGAGTTGTTAACTTCTCTTAAGATAAGAGCAAGTCTGATTGAATTTACACTCGCACAGTTGCACTGATTTCATCCAGACACTGGAAGACAATTAATGCTTTCTTTAATTTAAATGAATTTTCAGTCTCTGAAGTCTGCTTCACACTTGAGGAGGCAGTTCCCCCACAATGCAATTGATCTCATTTCATTTCTGGGTTTTTTTGTTGTTGTTTTTTTTCAAACCAGCTCAAGCGCCAAAGCAGATCAATAGACATAGCATTGATTTACCTGGTGCGTTCCATAAGAACACCACAGTGGATGCACAAATAACTAACAGAAGCTTCATATGCTGTACCATTGCATGAGCTGTACACATGCACATGGATAAAGTATGGCATTGCAAACAAGTGTGTAAATATGCAAATCAAACAACAAACTGTTATCTTGCTGAACATGAGCACAGTCAGGTAAAAGTGCACAGATAAAACACCATGAACTAAAGCACTGAGCTGCAAACTAGAGGAACAAAATCCTGCAAGATTGTTATTACCTGCAGCACTTTTTGCATGTTTCAGTGTTTGTGGTAAAAATACTACTGTTCTGATTTAGTATTCAACATTCAACATTGTCGAATTCATAATAGTTAAAAAAAAAAAAAATCCAAATTGATGCAGCAGAATCAGTGATATCGTGTATGTATATAAAGCGTGTCACCTTTGTTCTTTACCCACAATGCAACTCAACTGCAGACAGGTTGGAGATTTGGGTGCGTTATGCTAGTTGTTGCTAATGAAGCCTTGAGATTAGGAGCATACTACAGGGGTCTGGTAAACTCCACAACCTCTGATTTTTGTCATTTTCAAACCAACCTTGACGCTGAAGTCAGTCAAGTGACATCACTTTTGGCAATATATCAGATTTCACGCAGCTCCGGCTGGAGCCACAAAATACTTTTATACAATTTTTTTCACATAGGCAGCAGTGCTCCCCAACACCTGTAAACCTGTAAACCTTGTACATTTTCACTAGGTTTTAATTTCATATGAACTTTTACTTATCATAAAATCATAAACCTTTCTGTTTTGTCATCCTGTGTGTGTGTGTGTGTGTGTGTGTGTGTGTGTAGGTGTGCGTATGCTGGATGGTGAGGTGACTGACATGGTGGAAGCCCAGTCCCTCAGTCTGAATCCCCAACACATTGACGTCTACAGCGCCAGCTGGGGCCCAGAGGATGACGGCAAAACTGTTGATGGACCGGCCAAACTTGCCAAAGAAGCTTTTCTACGTGGAGTTACAGAGGTGTGTGTGTGTGTGTGTGTGTGTGTGTGTGTGTGTGTGTGTGTGTGTGTGTGTGTGTGTGTGTGTGTGTGTGTGTGTGTGTGTGTGTGTGTGTGTGTGTGTGTGTGTGTGTGTGTGTGTGTGTGTAATTATTTACAGCCTGTGTGTGACTTCCTTTCAGCAGTCAGTAATTGAACTGTTCAAGCATGAGAGGACACAAGCGGGAAGAACAAAGCAGTTTTTGACCCTGACAATTATGAATGGAAGGGAATGTCCTCTAAAAACCCACCAGGGAGAAAAATCTTGGAAAATGAATAGAAGCAGTACTGATAGAATTTAAGTATGAAAAGTTGATTTTTTAAAATATATTCATTGTTAGTTGAAGAGTGCTTCTTAAACTGCCAGCTCATCTTTTATCTCCCAACTCTTTCAGTCAGTCAGCATGAGGTCTCTTTGAATGTGAAGTGTTTTTAAAAAAATCTAATCAAACACTGGGAGCTTTAAATTACTTGACAAGCATTTCTAATCAAAGGCTCCCAAACACATTCCTAACTATGCATATGCAAGTTAAGACAGTTTAAGGGGGGGTAATTTTAAAAAGTGGCTTGTCAGCATTTAACAGCATCTAAATATTAAGCAAAAATGTACCACACTGCCATGTGACCAGTCCTGTTGTTGATAGGAGCATTCGTTTTAATGCATGGGACAGTGTCGGATACATAAAATGAACAAGTCAACAGATTAATAAGCATACAGATCACACCCCAGGCTCTCACATCTGGACTCCATAAATACCCACATCCATCCAGCTAACACTGACTCTTGTTATGGAGTGGTAGGATTCAAGGCATGTGCCATAAAGCTGATTGGAACCGCTGACACTGACTACTGAGATAATTGCCACAGTGACAGTGTTGTCAGATGGTGGTGTGGGTGGTGCATAGCTGGGTTTGATCAATGCAGAGAGAGACAGTTCCACTCAATACAATGAAGCAGCTCTTAGATGAAAATTATTGCACTTCAAAGGCTGAGAGGTTGGATGATTTATCACAATGAGCTGCTGTCATATAGTGCCTTTTTGTATTGCATTGCTGTCATGCGATATTTAGCTCTTTTTAATTTACTGAGTGACCACCCTGTGATGTATGCTGCGTTTTAATGGGCCCTTTTGAAATGAGCCCTGGAATTAATTTGCCCTACTATAATTGGGATTCCTATTAAACATTGTATAAGATTTTGGTCCAGTGGCATGAAAGAATGAAAGGGTCTGTGGTTGTCTTTTACCATTTGTCTGAATGTACTGTACGTTCTCCAGGGTCGTGGCGGTTTGGGCTCCATCTTTGTGTGGGCTTCTGGGAATGGAGGGAGGGAGAAGGACAGCTGTAACTGCGACGGCTACACCAACAGCATCTACACCCTGTCCATCAGCAGCTCCACACAGAACGGCAATGTCCCCTGGTACAGCGAGGCTTGCTCCTCCACCCTCGCCACCACCTACAGCTCGGGGAACCTCAATGAGAAACAGATAGTGAGTTACGGTTGTATCCAGTGTCTTTTCTCTCTTTCTCTTCCTCTCCTTGTGCTTTTTTTTCCTTTAGCAACAGTCTGATTATAATTAGTGCTGATCAGTCGATTCAGCAACAACAATTTTGATTAATTAAAGGTGCCCTCTGGAGTTTTCTTGTTTACCCTGAATGTATGTTTACATTCAGTGTAAACTCACCAAATCACATTGTGTGTATCCTTGAGGTCTAACAAACATGGTGAATCCTTTCTCATAAAACATTTCCAAAGCCAGTTTTTCAAACATTTTGAAACCTGCATCGTTTACATTCATGTTAACTTGCTTTCAGTCTTAATCTTCCCTGCCTTTGCTGCTGCATTGCTGCATTTCTTACCGTGTTACCTCCTCCTGTAGATCAGTGTAATAGTGTGAAACCATTGGCAGGAATGTGTGTCGCATCACCCACATTCATGTGCATCGCATCCCCGTGCATGTACATGAGGGGAACAACACAAGCACCCACTCATAAAAAAAAAACAAAAAACTGCTCTATAGTGCTACTAGAGGTCCAAAATTGCCACAGGTTACCTTTTAATCTTTAAAGTTATTTATCAACAAGTTCCAGCCTCAAATTGTAAACTGAATATGTTTGGCTTTGTGGTTTGTGGTGTAGTTGGTTTTATGTATATATTAATCAGTTTTACCCAGTAACTGCCACAGTTAATGTGATCAAATACCAAACATATACAGGCCTATGTATAATGAGAATCCGACAATAATATTTTCTCTTTATCGCTGAATCTTTCAGTGTTTCTAAACCCTTTAGGAATGCCACTTGATCATACTGTATGCTAGATGAATTTACATTCACACACATATATAGCTGCAAGTAATGATTATCTTAACTATCAATTGATCCACCAATTATTTTCTTGATTAAATGATTCGTTTGGTATATAAATAGTCAGAAAAGATTAAATAAATTATGATTTATTGATGTCATCCCTTAAATGTCTTATTTTGTTCGATCAGCAGCCCAAAACCAAAAGATGCCTCTTATTTCCACAGAAGACAGAAAACCGGAAAATATTAGAATTTGAGAAGCTGGAACAACAGAATTACAACTACAACTACTTCATTCTTTACTTCTTTTCTTTACTCCTCCTATCCTCCATTCATCCTGTCTTGGGCCATTAAAATTATTACGAATAGTAAACGGCTGAAACTCCATCTGGCAATCTGTTGCTGCTTAATATTCTTCTCACAAACACGATAATCACACACACACACACACACACACACACACACACACACACACACTCACACTCACACTCACACTCACACTCACACCCACACTCACACACACACACACACACACACACACACACACACTCTTTCTCTAGCATAGTCTAGCAGCCAGACCAACTGAATGGACAGCTTATGACATCTCTGTGACATGTGGCTGGTCCCTTAATGCTTCAGTGCTGTACTCATTTAATTGTGCTGTCACTCATGAACTCGGGAATGAAGAGATGGAGTAGAAGAGAGAGCGTGGGACCTCTGGGGTTATGCAGCAGTAAATATCTTAATTTGTGTTTGTTTTTTTTTTAATTACACTTATATTATCCCTCTTTTTCAATTTAAAGTAAGTGGGATATGGAAAGCTTCTGAATGCATAATCGGACCATTAAAATCAGTTCTGCCAATTCATTTATCATTCTGTTCTGTCCATTAAATGATGAGGTTCTGGAGGCTCTGCATTGGTCAGCATATAGAGTAGACTTCTTATTCTTAATTTTTGAAATCTTACATAGATTGACTTCCCCTTTAGGATTATACCGTTGGTGGGCTTTTCAAAAGACAGTGTTTTGTAACCGTTATCCTTCTTGAGATGGGTTGTGCTGAGTACAAACATGCTGGTTCTGCACCACTTTGCCATATATTCATGCAGCTGTAGAAATTCGCTCTTGGGAGCTGCCCAGTACAACTGGGTTGCTGAGGAGATCTCTACTGGAGCTAAAAAGAGTCTTGCTCAAAGACATCTCACTGGTAGCTGTTGAGAGAGAGAGCGAGAGAGAGAGAGAGAGAGAGGGTGAGCATTAGTAATACCATTTTCCCCGTTTTGATTTTCCAGCTGGTCCAGGGAGCAAATACGTATGAGACAGTAAGAGAAGAAGTGAGTGAAATTATCAGATGAAAAGAGTTCAGTTATTTTGTGAATTTATTCAGAATTATTCCGTTCTGGTAAAAGTGTAGGATTTGTATTAGTGTATGAGGATGAGACCAAAGTTATAAAACGGAATTGGAATAATAACTTAAGGTGAATGTTTCGAGAACATTTTTCCACTTTGTCAGTTTTTGTCTATTTAAGCACAACTGTGTTCGTCTTCCTTAGGTGACTACAGACCTCAAATCAAAATGCACAGACTCTCACACAGGCACGTCTGCCTCCGCCCCGCTGGCTGCTGGGATCATCGCCCTTGCCCTTGAGGCCAAGTAAGTGCTTATCACTATGTTTCTGAGTTTTACCAAGACTTGAAATTCTCTTCAGCTCTACAGCCTCATTCTCACCTTCCCTTTTCCATATTTCACTGACTTTTGTTGATTAACATCATTTAATCCAATGTAATAGAAAACTGTTCAATAGAATTTGTACAGAACAAACTCACGATTAGACTGTTAAGTAATTATTCCAGAGAAAGATTTGTCATTTTCAGAACGCGCAGGCACATTAAATATTGCAAAAGCCAAAGTAGTTTGAATGAATGCCCCACTGTTATCAGTTTCTAGCATGTGGTTAGAAGTTTCCTAACTGCAAATTGGTCATTTAGTAGCAACAGGTAAAATATATATATATTTTTTTTTTTTTTTTTTTTTTTTGGCACATACTTTTTGGAAAGCCGATTATAAATTTAACACTCTCATATTAAATCAGGCTTTAACCGCCGGTGCTGCATGTTTGTGCATCAATTCTGCTTGATTATCCCATTTTATGAATTACTTTTGAACCCTTCTGCCTGACAGACTTTTGCAGAGCATTTGCAAAAACAGCACAATTTGATGTAAGCACTAATCACTCTTATCCAGTCACACAGCACTAATGGAGGGACAAACATGAGCCACAGTACAGTCCTGAAAATGAGTAATTAGTCTTGTGGCAAAAAAGAGTGAAGTGATAGAAAAGGATTGCAATTAGGAACGGATTTGATGAGAAAGTGATTGAGCAAAGTTGCTACATAATATGCATTTTATTTTGGTAAATCCACAATAAGAGGATAATAAGATAATACATTTAAAGTTAAACCCAACTGTGACCTCTTGTAACCCTTTTTTGTGCCACGTCCATTCAAACCTGCATTTTTCAGGTTTTCACTTTATTATACATTTTGCCAAAGGGCGGAAAGAGTTGAAACACATGTTGACTGAAGATTTAACGTAATTCAGGAAAGAATGTGACTGGTACTTTATTGTATTCTGTATTTAATCAGCTGGCCACCTGCAACTTAACTCTGTAGGATGTATTCTCAGACGCGTCTGTTTGATCTGCTTGAGTGCCTCAACTTTATTTAGTCTTACCGTGTGTGTGTGTGTTTTTGTGTGTGTGTGTGTGTGTGTGTGTGCGCCTCTCTCTCTCTCTCTCTCTCTCTCTCTCTCTCTCTCTCTCTCTCTCTCTCTCTCTCTCTCTCTCTCTCTCTCTCTCTCTCTCTCTCTTTATGTGGCTCTGTGTGTGATTGCATATACACAGTAAAAACCTGACCTGGAGGGACATGCAACATCTGGTTGTACGAACTTCTCACCCTGCCCACCTGCTCACCAATGACTGGAGAACCAATGGGGTTGGGCGCAAAGGTACAGCACCTCCTTCCAAGTTATCGTCTGCCCTCTGCAGTTTGCAGAGGCCTTTGAGGCTCATTAATGTTATGCATCCAATAAACCAAAATTGCCTTTAGAGATGGAATGCCCCAGAATTGGACAGAGCGGTTGTGTGAAGGCTTAAAATGGGATACACACTGTGTAGCTGGTCTATAAAGTTGGAACTGGGAGAGGATACTGCTCCCAGCAGGCCAACATTCATGTGTCTGTTTCTCCTTTTTCTCTCTGGTCTCTGTAGTTAGCCATTCATATGGATATGGTCTACTTGATGCCAGTGCAATTGTAGCACTGGCAAAGACGTGGACCAGTGTGGGGCCACAGCGGAAATGTGTGATCTCCATGGTCAGTGAGCCAAGGTTAGTACACTACACTACACTACACTACACACACACACACACACACACACACACACACACACACACACACACACACACACACACACACACACACTCACTCACAGCTCACTGAATTTATCTCAAGACCCTGATTGCAAGTGTCTACACATATTATAGCTGTCACTTAAAAAAAATGGTTTAAACTAATTAGACTTAACAAGTAATTTGTCCTGATTAATTTGAATGCAGTCCACGTAGCCTAATCCAAAACTACATTGATTAATGTTGTTCCGTTCCCTCGATGGTGCCTCTGCTGCCTCGCTTGACTGACAAGCTGACGTTATTGTAAGACAGTTGCATTTTACAAACCAAGCAAACTGCCTTATTTTAAGCCACTATTTTTTCATTCATGTGTCAAATCAGTCCAACTGGTTTGATGTAATGATTATCTGTTCAGCACGGCTAGCCATAGCCTTGCTTACATATTACATTCAGTGGGTCAGATGGACGGGATGTTTTAGAAACGCCCCCTGCTGGAGTACAAGTTACAGTCTGTTACGCTGATGTGCACATTTTAAATTTGAAGAATAATTACATGTTGAAGTACTTCTGTTTCTACTATTTTTTGGGATTTGCTTGGAGGACGTATTCCCTACATGGTAGTGGCTGTGTAGACAGTCCATGCGGTCACAACAAATTGGCAGATGTCCGTATAGAGCCTGCACATACACCCTCTGATGATGATTTTACACAGACCCTTGCATACTCATAGACACAGAAAGTATAATTCCTGCTTTAATCTGTCTCACTGTGGCTCACTGACTATGGTGGCAGCAGCACATCAAACACAGAGGTAACTAACCATGTAACACAAACCCATGATAAAATGGATCAAATATGAGTGGAGTATCAGGGATCAGCAAAGCAGATGTGATCAGAAAGATCATTTATACTGATAACATTACAGCAGTCAATATACCATTACAAGACATGGCAGAACAGATGCACAATGAATACTTTGTTATATAGATTGTTTTGGCTTGATGTAAACTAAGCCTGTGAATTGGCAGCAAGATGAGCTCAACCTGGATGTTTGAGACACAATAAGTAAAAAGAGGAATCGGTCCATAACAGAATGCAGGTGTAGGAGATGCTCGCGTTTGTCTGAGCTGTCATGCTTTGCTGCAGTGACACATTATGTCCTCATCTTCAGCACGCCTGTTGAAATGCTCCGTGTCGGGGTGTGTGTGTGTGTGTTGGCACTCGGATCAGTACGAGAGGGAGGATTTAAAAGAGAAATCGTAATTTGTCAACTCGTGTCCCTTTCACTGTTTAGACTCAATATTTCTCCTCAGCCATTTTCTTCCTCTTTTTCCTAGCGTCACAGTCTAAACACAGCCCGACGTCTCGTCTCTTCTTCATTATGCGCTCCCTGTCACTTCTCTCGCTGGGTTTGAGGTTTCTCTCTCTTTTACCGCAGCTATGAGATGCTCAGAACAGATGGTTCGAGCGTCTGGGAGCAGCAGTCAAGGCAGGTTATTCAATTTACATTTTAGGTGTTTAGCTGACTCACTTATCAAGAGTGACTTGAAATAAGTGAGCAGGTAGGTGTTCTTCGTCTTTCTCACTGTCAATTACATCCAAATCATGATGGTGTACTCAGACAGGACACATTTCCGAAGAAAATTGCAGTAATACATACGTACAGTACTACATCATAGATGATGAATGAATAACTTTGAGTCAATTGTTATTCTGTGTATGGAAAGATTGGTTTACGGATTTCAGTTTTTTTTATTTAAATTAGTAAAATTAGTAGACCTAATCTTCTGTTAATGGAGTGTGCCTTAAAGCATGAGGTCTTTGCATGAGTTCCTATAAGCTTGTGTCTAACAGAGATTGTTTCAACAGTGAATGTGACAGTGGGTATACACACCTTGTTGTGAAAGACTTAAATGCCCACTGTGTAGGATTTAGTGGCATCCTGAGTTGAAGTTGCATATTGCAACCATTTGAATACAGCTCAGCCTTCCAAGTGAGCAGGAGAAACTATGGTGGCTGCGAAACTCACGAAAAAACGCTGAAGGCTCTATCTAGAGCCAGTGTTTGGTTGGTCTGTTCTGGGCTAATGAAAACATACTGTATATTCTGCCAATAGACCCTCTAAATGTTACACACTGGACCTTTTTAAATAGGATGCAAATTATCCAAATTACCACCAGGACTGCAATTTGTGTGTTGCATAAGTTGGTAGCTCTTCAAAAAGTGATTTATGATTTAGAAACACCGTATCCTTTCTGAAGCGTACTCACCACCAAAATGGATGGCTGACTCCCAGACTATTTTTTGGTGGTTCTGAAAAGCTTCATACAACACTGGACGAAAATACACATTTGTGTCTCCCCAGGAGTATAATTGTAAACTGATTTTAATTAAAATAAAAATTTAATAAATTATCCCCAATATGTAATAAGTATGTGATTGTGGTGCATTGGAGAGGATCTGCTGAGTGCCAAGGGAAAAAAACAAATTCAAGCAGAAGGCAACAGAAAAATTAAATAATATTGTTTGTGCAGTGTCTGTGTTTTGGCTTGGGTTATGTTTTGGTGATGCTGAACAGAGAAGGCTTGTGTTATTTTACAGGCATCTTTTAATTTTCAGCAATAGTGTTTACTATCATCACGGAGGTGCTACTGACATGTTGATAACAAAAAGGGCCATCGCTGCTCTCATTCACTCGTTGATTTTCCACAGTGACTGAATAGCAGATTGTTTTATAGGTTTGTAGCACATCCCCCCTCTGTCTGTTCTGCATGTGCTTGTAAAAACAGATGCCATGCCTCCAACAGTGCCACAAATTTTGCTTCTGCTAGCCCTTAAATCACAGATGCCTGTGCCGCAGTGGTCAACTCACAATGATAAATCAGCTCGGCAGCCATTTGTATACATTTCCTTCTCCAGTGCTTTCTGACCCTGCCTACAAACACCACAAAATACATTTTGCAATTGCCAAGGCATGCAAATGTTGAAGGACTGCGTTGCTACAAATTTACATAATAATAATAATAATAATAATAATATTGTGGACAGTCATTGTGACTTGTTGACATCTAGAAAAGGGCTCTGAATTAACCTTTTTAGACAATTCCCATGTGAGGCTGTTGCAAAAGTCAAAGGCGTTTTAAATTGTCCTTTTTAATGCAGCATGAAACATTAACTGTATCAGACTGAACCTGGAGGGACTGTGTCTTTAAACAGCACGACACGTTAGTGATCACACCACATCTTGCCTATAATTTGGGAACCTCTGTGTCACTAAAACCACAGTGCCTTCCTCCTCCTCAGAATTGTTGTGGATGCATGTAATCTCCTAAGCGGATTTAGGGGGGAGTAAAAAGAGGTGGGTGCTTTACTTCCAGAGAGGACACTGGTGCTACAGGTTGCGAGACATTAATCCTGTTCGAGGCCACAAACTCTTCACCCTTTGCAGGCTCGCACACTGGCCAGGAGCAAAATGTCACACTCACACAGTTATCTGGAGTGTAGCTTATCCCAAGCTCAGAACGAGCCAGTAATGATTTCAGCTGCAACAACCTACAACTAATGCACACCACTGTCTTAATGTATCTTCCTTGCATGTCGTTTCTCACGTTTGACAGGAACATCGGCAGCCATTTATCGATTAACATGAGTGTGGATGCCTGCATTGGCACAGACAGTCACGTGACCTCATTAGAGCACGTCCAGGCCCGGCTCACCTTGTCCTACAACCGGAGGGGAAACCTGGCTATCCACCTCATTAGTCCTGCTGGGACGCGCTCCACGCTTCTCCACCCCAGGTACAAACATACAAACACACAGGCGCACAGTACAAATTGGTGCATTCCAAGTGTTGACACTCATGCTTGACGTTCTCCTGCAGGCCTCACGACTACTCGTCAGAAGGTTTTAATGACTGGGCTTTCATGACCACCCACTCCTGGGATGAGAACCCCAGGGGGGCGTGGACGCTGGAGATTGAGAACGTGGCTGGTGCCAGTGACTACGGTAAATTACCCTTGTTGTTATATTCAAGAAATGTACATTATGGTGGATTTTCATGTTTGTGTGGTCATATCTAGAATTAATCCAAATGACCGCCAGGACCGCAAAATTGTGTGTTTTGTACGGCAAACTGGATTGTGCAATGAGTTGGTAGCTCTTGAAAAAATGATTTATGATTTAAAAACACCTGCCCTTTCTCAAGCATACTTATCCCCAAAATGGATGGCAGTTCTTCTTGGCTAGGTCCCAGACTATTTTCTGGTGGATCTGAAAAGCTTTATACACACTGGATAAAAATACACATTTGTGTCTGCCCAGGATTATTGCTGCAAACAGATTTAATTAAAAAATATATAATAAATTGATAATAAAAAGATTTGATTTGGAGTTTGGTTTTTTTAATTGTATTTGAGATAGGGCTAATAACTAATGATTACTGATTAATCTGTCAATTACTTTTCTGAATAATTTATTCATTGTTACATTGTTACACTCTTATTACTTGTTTTGTCTGACCAACAGTCTAAAACCTAAAGTTATATTAAGAAAAGAAAAGCAGAAAATACTTACATTTAAGAAGCCGGGGTGTTTGGTGGTTTTGCTTGATAAATGATTTCAATGATGAAAAAAATTCTCAGTTAACTAATAATTTAATTACCATAATTAAGAGACAAAAGCAAGAAAACAACATCATTTAAAACCAGACAAAAACCCACCTAAATCCAAACAAACATTACTCATATACCCCCAGCCTTAATAACATAAAACAGAATACTAAATCCTGATTCTCATATGCAAAGTAAAGGCAATATTATGTTGAAAACTTGAAAAATAACTATTGGATAGAACAATTATTGGAAGCAAATAATAATAATAAAGTGTTAAAATGTTTAATCTATTAATCAGCATATTGCGTGAATTTACAGTGATTATATACATGTTTCTTTGTTTCTTTGTTTGAGTGGAGAGATAAAGACAGGAAACACAGGAGAAGAGAGAGGTGCACGACATGTAACTAAAGTCCTCAGGTGGATTTAAACCGGAGGTGTTGCAGTCACCTTGTCTGAATGTTAATCAACACATGTATTAATCTGCTGAGTCTAAGGTTCAGCTCGAGGGTTGAAGGTTCAGTGCCAGGAGATTAGGGATCAAGTGGCTCCTGTGCCCTTGTTCTCTTTATAGGAGCTGTGAGGCTGACTCTGTGTAGCTCTGCAGCAATCTGTTTTGTTATAGCAGAGAGCATGATAAAGCAGGGGAGTGAATACTTCACTCTGGTTGTTTGCCCTTGGATCATCCACCGACAACCGTCTGCATCTGGACTAAGCGGATCCACCCACAACACAGTATTCAGAAGCCAAGAAAACCCCAGAAAACCAATGTAGATGAATGTCTCACACCTCCTCAGTAAGGAGAGATTTACTAAAGTGGAACCTCTCACAAGGCCTCACACTTGAATGATTCTTCAGAGACATACACTTTATAACACTCTTATTAGGTACAGAGTGAAATCATGCTGTCTTTTAAATTGCGACTCATTTCAAGGAGTCATTTTCTGTCACTTTATGCAGAAAATCCAAGCGTCTACAATGAGAAGAGGGTACATTTACTAAATCCACCCTGGGGAATGCCGGAGCCTTGCTGTTTTTGACAGTCCTACATTTCTTCCCGGGTTAATTTCAGTTTTTATCTCCGTCTCTATCTCTCTGCTCAGGCACTCTGACCCAGTTCACCCTGGTGCTGTATGGCACCGGCTCAGCATCTTCCAGCTCCTCCGTCACGTCTCAGCCTGGCAACGGCAGCTGCAAGACCTTGGACCTGAGGCAGATATGCATCGGTAAGTCTGGTATCTCTTGTCCCCAGTTTGTCCCTCACAGGAAGTTGCTGTCACAACACCCGAGGAGGGGTAGTGTAATTACTGAGTCATGTTGAGATGTGACCTGTGAAGTAGCCTGGATGTTGTGAGGTGAACGGGGTGAAATATTATCCCATGTGTTCTCAGCTGCATCCGTCTCTCTACGTCAACAGTGAGCAGACCTATTTGAAAGTCACTCGATTATCTTATTCAAACTCTTCCTGCAAACGCCATTATGTAGCTTAGCATCAGTATCCATTTTAAATGAAGATCTAACTTCTGATGAGATCAAATTAAATTTCACCCCAGGTCCCTTTTTAATAATCTCATTTAAATTTAATGGTGTCCATACTGCCATCTCCTACCTAATCCAAATAGTGCTATAGGCAAGGTCTCAACATAATGTCAAGTCCAGCTACATGTTGTCAGTCTGACCCCTACAGGCTGTCAGAGGTACGTACACACTGGCAGACAAGATCATACACAGGATCATTTTGATGTGAACTGAATATAATTATGATGTATTTGATTATCATATGTTGTGATTATCATGTATCATGTAGTACACAGTGCTCTCTGACTCTCGGCTTACAACTGTAGTTTCCTCTGTTTTGGAACAAATTGACGAGACCCTGCAGTAGATTAGATTTTCCTCCTTCTGTTGGCTCACACTGCTGTTTTCAGCTCTGTTACCCCCAGCACCCACAGTCTGTTAATTGCCATTATAGGCAGTGGTCTGCATCTGTACTTGCTGCATATGGAAATTGTTCTGTTGACTTAAACATGCTGCACTCAGCATATAAATTTCAAAGTTTTTTGTCATCGGATTTCTTTTAAGTGAGCAAAAGTAGCACTAACAAAAGTGAAAATGGCAACCTCAAAACATAATTGCCTTGAAACTTGAAAATTGCCCTGTCTCAACATTTTACTACAACTCTTGGCTGAAATAAATGCAGAAATGTTGGACCTATTGTGCTTTATTATTGTGTTATCTGAGTCTCAACTGTCTGGGCAGGAAGCCTGGTTCCCTGTTTTTTAGGTGTTCTGACTCATATAAAGAGGTAAAATGTGCGTGCGGCCATTTATTTCAGTTTTGTTTCTCTGTGTTACAGAGTGCGACACCGGCTACTACCTCTTTCAGCATGGCTGTGTGAAAGAATGTCCAGCAGGCTTCTCAGTGGGCTCCCAGCCCCTCAACTACACAGTGGGAAACTCGATACCACCAGCTTCCGTCCCAGCCTGCCTGCCCTGCCCACCGCCCTGCCTGACCTGCAGTAGCCTCAGCCCTCGGGCCTGCCTGTCCTGCCCCCCTCACAGCTCCCTGGACCCCATCTCTGGCACCTGCCTGCACCTCAACCAGTACATGCGAGAGTCCCCTGGCAGCTTCACGGCAGGCCAGGGGCACCCGGGATCGGAGCTCCAGCTGAGCTCCCGGCTGCCCATCACCATCGCTGTGCTCAGCTGCATAGCCATCATCGCCACATTCGCTGGCATCTTCCTGCTGCTGCAGCTGCGCTCAGGCGCGCTCATTAAGTTGCCCTCTCTGGAGGCTGGTGGCGGCCTCGGGGGCAGCTTCAGCCTGGGGGGAAATAGGGTGGTGTCATACCGTGGCATCCCGACAGTGTGGGGGGATGAAGAGGTAAACACAGACTCCGAAAACGAAGAGTTTGACGTCCACAATGAGAAGACTGCCTTTATCAAAACACAAAGTGCTCTTTAATGCCTCCCCCACATCCCTCCTTCTCTCCTGCTTTTAAATCCTCTCACCCCCACATTTGTCTGATAATTCAGGGCTGTGGTAACTGTCCTTTCACAGTCTTTTCTGGTTTTATCTCTCATCCCTTTTTTCTGTCTCTGTCTTACTGGGTCTCATCTGAGTCCTGCTTCAGGATCTCCTCTTCCACTCTGCTGTGGGAGGACCTGATAGGAAGCCGCTGTCTCTCAGAGCTCGGGATGGCCCGAGCTTTGCTCTGTTCACACTTGGGTGCATTTCTATTAAACTGGCTCTCTCCCTCCTCTTGCCCTCAATCACTAACAGTGTCTGTCTGTGCAGAGTCTATTTTCCCCTCCAGCTCCTTTTTGTTACAGTAAACAAATGATTATTATTTGCTTTCTTCCTCTTTTTTTTCTCTTTCCATCAGTCTCAGTGCAGTAGCCAGATGAGATTGTTGAATGTGAGGTGTGTGTGTGTGTGTGTGTGTGTGTGTGTGTGTGTGTGTGTGTGTGTGTGTGTGTGTGTGTGTCTGTCTGTCTGTCTGTCTGTCTGTCTGTCTGTCTGTCTGTCTGTCTGTCTGTCTGTCTGTGTCTGTCTGTGTGTGTGTCTGTGTGTGTGTGTGTGTGTCTGTGTCTGTGTCTGTGTCTGTCTGTGTGTGTCTGTGAATGTGAGCGTGTAAAATCTGATGAACAGTGTAGTGCCCTTTATAGAGAAAGCTAAGGCTGGCCCTGTCACATTTAGTACTTTAACTTTAAAGTGATAACAAAAAATGGTATTATGAGGCATGAAATCGGATTTGGAAACATTGATTCTCTCCCAAGTGTAGTTAAGTGACATCAACATCCAAAATCTGTTCAGAAAACCACCACTTATCTGTAGCGATTCACATTTTAAAGATGCACAAATCAAAAGCCTGATAGTTCGAAATGCCCTGGCTTTGACTGGTGACACATGATTATAAACCATTAGAGAAGCAAAACAGACTGTTTGAGAGCTTTCTCTTTATGATGATGATGTTATATATGTATTTACTTGAAAGAAAATCCATCTCTCATACAGTGTTTTTTTCTGTACAGTTATTGATCGAGGTGTGATTTCAGTTCTCGTATTGTGCACTCAATCTGGTAAGATCTCTCTCAGCTCTGGCAGAACATACTGTGAGTCACACAACTAGCAAAGATTCCTTCCGCCTTTTGGGATTTAAGATGGACTCATTTATTCCGGTTTGGAAACTATAAATTCTCCTGCACTTGTAGTAGGACATCCATCACATGAAACCATCACATAAAAAGAATTAAAGAAAAACACACACACACACATACTATTCAGTCTACCCCGAGGCACAGTCCCTTCCAGGGATATTTAATTTCTGTGTCTGATGTTCTCATATCGCGGGGCTGTTAGAACTGCCGCCGAGGTGCTGATGGGACCCAAAACAATATGTGACTGTTGAGCACAAGAGCTTCTCAAATCAGCTGGCAGGTGTTGAGTCACCTGTGATTGATTTCTTGACAGAGCAGACAGAGACAGCACATTGATGCTTTCTCTTTTTGTCAGAGCACATTAGCACTACAAACACACGCCTCATATCATAATGACTGAAACGTGTGTGTGTGTGTGTGTGTGTGTGTGTGTGTGTGTGTGTGTGTGTGTGTGTGTGTGTGTGTGTGTGTGTGTGTGTGTGTGTGTGTGTGTGTGTGTGTGTGTGTGTGTGTGTGTCTTAGTTTACTGCATATGAAGTGGAGAAATGTTTATCAGCCCTCTGAAGTGAAGGTTTCCTTCGTCTCTGCTGTCTTCTTCAAATCTTGAATACTATTTAGAAATCCTGCGTTGAGACTCCACATCTCATCAGTGTCTCTGCTTTTACCCTCCAGTCTTCATCTACTCTGAATTTCATATTATCTCTTCAGTGTACTTGCCAATTAATTATATTCTGAATGATACTGCAGCAACTATTTATTCTGAGAGATTTTAATCATACCTTTTAGGGAAGATTGTTTTAAAGTGATTTTTCTCCCGGGCTGGTTATCATCTAAAATATGCATCTCATGATTTAATCCAGAGTAGCCATTTTGAATCCACTGATCTCTTTTTCTACTATGTTGAAATTATTATTATTATTATTATTTTCTCATTTCCAGTATAAAAACAGTGGAGCTTGCTGAGAGAGGTTGTCATGGTGATGACATGCATTCAAAACTGCAGCTGCTCATCCTTTTATCTACCTCTCATATCATTCAGCAAGGGTTCATACGCTGTTAGAGGAGCTGTTAATGATTATAGAGGTCAAATTATATGTAGGTCAGATATGAAAACGCTTCTCGGGAAAGATTTAGGGGGATAGGCATGTAAGTCAAATTTATGTTTTAGAAGAGAAACAAGCAATTGTAAAGCTGCTGTGTAAATTCTAGTCTCCTAACCTCCTATCACTCCTAAAATGTATTGCCTTTAGGATCAGCATTCATGGGCAGGCACACCTGGGCTTTAAAACCTGTTATTGAAAATAAAATGGGTAGAAGGATTGTCCATAGATCTTGCTGGCCAGCGGTTATGTACTAAATCATTTTCAAAATTGTTTGGGATGTTTGTTTTGCCTCACCTCTCATACTCAGTACCCGGGCGGCTCCATCAGAGGTGAAGACCTTTTCGTTTTTTAAGTTCATGTCACCGACAATCAAACAGTTTCCTTTCTTTTGAGGGCGAGAAGATGCACAAGCACACAAAACAAATCGATTTTAATTTAACCACTTGTGTTGAAAAGCCTTCTCAGAAGGTTTTATTCATAAATATGCAGAGCTGAATGTGATTTAAATTGCAAAAGCGTGTTCAGAGAGGGTTCAAAGGGGAAAAAAATAGCAGAGAAGAAGAAGAGTTTCAAACCAATACAACAGCCTCTTGAAAAGCATGGAGAAAGATTGGTATGTATGCTCTCAAACACAGCGCTGAGCCAGGAAGCTTAATTCATCTCAGATGGCCAGTGCAGGTGCTGCACATTTGGCTTATCGTGGTAGTTTCAGCCAGGAAGCACTAAACTGGATTGGAAACCAATCCGAGCGCATGGATTTAGAGAAAGTGCCCTCTAAAGGAACAGAGCTAATGTGGCTGCAGAATAACGAGTGTGTGCTGCATCGCTCTTTGTGCGATGTACATTAGTGCCTACTGCCATTGAGGCTTTGATAAGCCCCAGTTTAAGGAGGGTGCTAATTTAAAAATGTAATAACTCCAGCCTCGGACTTGAGTGTGTAAACAGATAATGGGCTAATGCGGCAACAAATTTGCTTCCATAAACTATTTTCTTAAACTCTGAATGCTCAGTTTGCATTTTTAGAAGAACTATAAAGTGGACCAATTTGTTTGCGATTCATATTGACTAATTGATGCTCAGTCTTGTCAATATTATCCATTATGCATCTTCCCTTCCAAAAGGTTTATATTGCTTCCATAGAGAATTAAGCTTCCTCTGAAGTGCAACATTTTGGGGTGTTCAGACAAGTTGCTCTGGCCCCCCCGAGGGCGTACACAAAATTATTTATTCATCTTAGCTTAATGTTGTATTCAGTTTGAAAAACTCAGAAAACTTTAAACTGATAAACTCGGAGCTTTGTGCATTTGAGTGTTCTTCTAAGAAAATCATGAATGCGGGCAGCATTAAGTAGCTAGTGCTTCCAAAGCACGGGGAGCTGCTGAAAACCATTAGCAGGTCATCTTACTCTTTCACTGCAAGAATGTGATGGAAATTACACACTAACAACAGAAGAGCTTCTCTAATTGTGTCGGAAGTGTGAAGCCGTTTCATGTAAAAAGTAACAGAAATGTTAAGAGAAAAATTCGTTCTTTGCAAATTGTCTCCTCTGGCTTTAAAGAAAAGACTCGCCCGTGGGAATGATGGAGGCTTTTTTCTTTATACAGCTGATTTATTTAACATGGAGCTCAATGTTGCTTCAGTCCTGCCTTAGGATGTAGTGTGAAGTGATCAATATGAAGTCGGATGGAGTTAATAGGAGCAATATCTTTGGCATAACCAAAGACAATCATTTTAATGCTGTCTGTTTAGTGTTACGACGTGTTGCTTTCAGGTTGTCACAGTCCATCGACCTCTTCACTTACATTACAAGTGTTGTTGATATCATTCTGTCATCTCTGCCTTTCCTGTAGATCTGCAGTGACACCTTGTATGTTCAGCAGCTGTGGAGGGAGGAGGTAGAATGTATCCCATCTCCATTAACTTAAGGGCTGAATCAGAATTGCGTGCGTCTGTTTGTGCACATGCTTGTTTAAGTATATATGAAACACTTTGGGGGTTAAGTGGAGCAGCCTCAGACGACTCTGTTTTACCACCTCCCGCCTCTTCGTGAGGTTCCTGGCCTGTGGCTGCACACAGTACCTTACAGATTTGTGACCTATGAATAATGTACAAGAATGACTATCTTCACATGGGACATAACTCTAAAATAAGGCCTATTTTTGTACTATATGAATGGTGCAGTGTAATTTTCTTGTAATTTAAAGATTTTTTTGCTCTCGTTTTTCTTCTTTTTATTTAATTGATGTCAATTATAGATTCTACTAAAAATAAAGATCTATGCAAATTTGAATGTGTTTTTATTAACTTAAATGCACTCATAAATATGGTTTGATGATGTAGGTTGGTGAGAAGTACTCAGATCCCTCACTTAAAGGTCCAGTGTGTAACATTTAGGAGGATCTATTGGCAGAAATAGAATATAATATTCAAAGGTATGTTTTCATTAGTGTGTAATCACCTGAATATAGGAATTATGTTGTATTCAAATCTTAGAATGACCTTTATCTACAGACACCACAGGTCCTCTTCAATGGAGGCCACCACTTGAACCACCATGTTTCTACAGTAGCCCAGAATGGATTTGGTTTTTCACAGCCACCATAGTCTGTCCTCCGAGGGGTTGCAATCTGCAACTACACCACTAGATGCCACTGAATCCCACACACTAGACCTTTTAAGTAAAACTAGCACACTGTATTATGTTATGAATAAAAGTCCTTCATTCAAAAGTTTAAGTAAAGAAGTAACATCAGCAAATGTACTTAAAGTGCTTGTTCTGCAGGAAATTGTCCCCTATGACTAATATATTACATTATTAATCCTGATGTATCAGCAGCTTTATACTGTTGTTCCTGGTGAGCTAGTTTTAACAATTATTGTCTGGTGTTTTCTAACCTAGGAGTCAAGTCCACTCTGTTGCATCTAAGGGTTTGTGAGATGATTTAAGTTCTGTTACACAATTGTATTTACTTTAAGGCTTTTCTTTAAATCTCTTTTTTGTGAACAAAAACTAAAATAAAACCATTTGAGACCATTTGTCTCTTGTGGTGGAAACGTGACAAAAAGCTACAATTAGAAACGGCTTTCTTCAGCAATGCTAGCAGCATGTAACAGTTCAGGTACAATCTACAAATATACTGAGGCACTTGTACTTGAGTATTTACATTTAATACAAGTTAAGATTTCACATACAAAACATATGGTCTGTTCAAATATGATGTATGGCGTAGAGTGCACAAAATCTGGTTATTAAATCATTTTGGTCGTAAAGGACCAGTGTGGGGGATTTAGTGGCATCTAGTGGTAAAGTTGGAGATTGCAACTAAGTGAACACTGCTGGCGTCTGTATTTGATGACAAATGAGAACGGGCTGTAAAGTGTGAAACGTGGCGGACTCCATGGAAGGCAACCTGCAGCGTCTGTAGATAAAAAAAAATTAAAAAAAACAAGTCTCATTGTAAGGTAAAGAAAACGCGATTCCTATATTCAGGTGATAATACACTAATGAAAACATACCCATGAATATTATATTATCCATTTCTGCCAATAGACCCTTAAAAACTTTGCTTATAAACAAAAACCTGTCAGTGCTAATACGAATATTTCACCTGTTTTTAAAATACAAATAGACTTTCATGTATTTTCTAAAACCAGGTTTTATTTAACATTTCTAAACAAGACAATATTCGACAACTGTGAAATGTTCAGTGGTGGACGAATTACTCACATCTTTTACTAAATCATTAAAATATACTTAAATAAAAATAAGTACACTTACAGTAAAACTATTACGCATAATAGCCCCTTTACTGATGCATTCATGTGTACATTAATGTTGCATATGTAAATATGGAGCTCCTGTTATTAATTGACACACTGCTGAAAAGTCTTATCGATAATAATTTAAATTACAAGTTTTCAGGGATGTGATTTTACAAAACTTTCTCCCCAGAACGTCTCAGTTATATGGATTTTAAACTGCATGACTCCTTGTGTTTTGTCAGCTGATTTTTCCACGTGTAATGTTCCCCACATCTGACGCAACCATATGGTTTCTCTCCCGTATGAGTCCTTGCGTGTCTTTTCAAGTCTGACGTCTGACTGAATCCTTTCCCGCAGGTGATGCAAACGTGCGGCTTCTCGCCTGTGTGGATCCTCATGTGGATTTTCAAGTTAGTGTTACATCGCTGAGCTTTCCCACATGTGCTGCAAACGTACGGCTTCTCACCTGTGTGGATCATCATGTGTCTTTTCAGTTTGGACATCTTATTGAAAGCTTTCCCACAGGTGTCACATTTAGACAACTGTTTACCTGTGTGGGTATTCAGGTGAACCTTTAACATCGTAGAGTTACATAAATCATTACTGCAGATGCTTCTTTTTAGGCGTCTTTTTTGGGGGTTTGGCTCTGCATCTCTACTTGATTCTGGATTTCCATTTGTGTCGCCTGTGTGATCTTCGTTTCCAGTTGCATGATGGTCGTGAGAGAGGAGCTCGTGGTCACTGTTTGATTCTGATACAACGCAGCTTTGACCTATGTTGAGTGGAGTCTCTCTCTCTGTTGCACCAAGGGTTTCATCAGGGTTCAGAAGCAGGGTCTGGTCCTCACAAGTTGGAATCAACATAAAGGTACCCCACCCCTGCACTGGGGCAAGATGCTCTTCCTCCTGACTGGTGCAGATTTCCTCCTGTTCCTCTTTAATCTGTGGAGGCTCTGAGTCCTCTCGGGCCTCGCCGGAGTTCCTCTCCATTTTACACTGTTCATGGAGATCCTCCTCCTCCTTGCAGACATGTTGCCGTGGGAGCTCTGGAGGGAAAGGGGAGACATACAGTAGGTTACTAGGGTGATTGTAGACATTTAAGTAGTGTGCTGGGAGTAGGAAAGTCTATTTATATTTGTTTTTTCTGATCTGAAGTTAATGATATTGTGCTGCCATGCATCAATAGTGGCTTCAAAAATGGCAGTATCTTTATTAAAGTGACTTAGTAATGATAAATCACCCTCATGCACAAATCATACATCAATGGTAGCCACAATTCATACACAATCTACACACAGCAGAAATAGCATATTGTCAACAAATCATGTTTCCAGAGGAGCCCATCTCCCTCTGGCTGCTCTGTAGTTCCCCCACTGCATCTAAAGATAAATATATTCATAATCAAACCATGGGGGATGTTATAGGAGTCTAATATGTTGTTAAAAGATTATTTAGGTTTCACACACCCATCCTGTGTAGCTGTACTTTGGGTTTCCAGGCGATGGCCAACAGTGTGCGCTGTCGCTCGATCTCTTCTTCGTACTCGATGATTCGTTGTTTGAAGACTCTTAATATTTCCTCCGCAGCAGCAGACAGTCGCTCGTTCACAAACTCTGTCAAATACTCGACTGAAGACATGTTTGTTTACTTCTCCTTAATAACCAGATACACCTGCAGACACAGCGAGGAGCGTTACCTCTGTTTACTTCCGCTGGGTGTCACAATGTTTGGTTTCCGACAGCGGACGCGTGTGGAACCTCAAAGTGTTTAATATGGAGCAAATGGGTAAGTAATTATTATAAATAGTCTTATGAATAAACTGTGTTACACATTATATAAAAGAACCAATGTTTTTTCGAATTATACTCAGAATTAATGTTATTTAATTATTCTTATTTGTATAGGAGTTTTGTTTTTATTTAATATTAGATTAGATTTTGGATGTTCCTCTGAGAAAGACACACAGCGCGGTGAAGATTTGAAACATAAGTCTTTTTCTGTGGTTGTTTAAATCAACAAGACCTGCCAACCTATGGTAACATGGACTCACTTCACTCTGATTCTGAGTAAAAAGCTCACTAAATGTCCCAGTTATTCAGCCAGGTAGGTAGCCTGTGCAGCCTGTGCAGCCTGTGTAAAGCTAATGCTGAGGAGCTAAAGGGTAACTGTGTCTGTGTACTGCCTTTATTTACAGCAGCAGCCTCTTGTTGGTGGATTCAGATTTACTATGTTGTTTCTCTTGCCCACAGGAGCCAACTGGCTGAGTATGGTAGCAGAGGGTATGTAAACACAGGGCTCTCCTGGATGATGTAACAACCCTGCAGGTTTATGACCACCAGTTTTAATGACTTCAATTTAGTTTCTGATAAATCATTTGTTGTCCATCACCTGGCATGGCAAACTGGTCTCAACACTACACCACCCATGAGCCATCGCTGCTGTAGCCATGGAGAAGAGGCCAGTTGAAGTGCAATTTGTTATAATTGAGAGCAAAAATGCTGAATTCACCGACATTTGACCCAGAATTTAAAAGTGAATTCATACCTTGAGGTTAGTGCAGAGAGTTTCTAATCCTTTGAATTAATGATTTGACTGAGAGAGTTTCAGGCCCTTTCAAAGCTGTAGACGTGCCTCAACTGTGAGTCACATACTGTAACATTGATAATGGGAATAATGAAAGGGACTTTTACTTCTGGATCCAGGGACTCACACTTTGCAGCTCATGAAAAGTGACCATGAACATAATAGAAGTGCATGCATGGAAACCTTATTTTTAATGGCCATCAGGGGGCGACTCTGCTGGTTGCAAAAACAAGTTCTATTATATGGAAGTCTATGAGAAAATGCCCCAATTACTCACTTAATTAAACAGTTTCCTAATGTGTTCATGGTCTCAGTCATAAGTTTAAAGTCTTCAATACAGCCTGATGTTCATTATGTAAATTATGGTCCCATTTAGAGTAAAATAGTCAATAAAATATGTTTAAGGGTGTGGATCCCTTGTTATTGACAAGTAGCTACCACAGTGAAACCAAAAGTGTCTTCAGGTTCTCACTTCTCAGCTAGATCAACCCCTCATTCCTCCCCAGCTCCACCCTCTTATCCAAATATGGTCACGTCTGGCTCTGAATAATCAAGATTGTGACGGTCATAATGCCAAACTTAAGGCTTCAAAACAGTATAGTCCACCACAGTGGCTGCGTCCATTTGTATTATACAGTATATTAAAGTGACATTACATTGGGAAAAATGCCAGTATGAATTAAAGTAAAGTTAATATCTGTCTGTACCCTAATGATATAAAACTGTTAGTATGAATGTGAGTAACATACAAATTGTTGGTTAACTCATGCATGTTTGTTCAAATAATTATTTTAAAAGAACATTTAGTTTTCCACATTAGTCCATCACTTTGGTTCGGACTGAAATATTGTACAGAAAACTGCCCAGAGGATGAGTCCTGTTGATCACTGACCTTTCCTAGCACCACCATGAGGTTGACATTTGTGGTTTTCAGTGACATTTGGGGCATTCATGTCCCATTCAGGATGGATTGTAACAACTTTGGTTATCCTTTAACTTTTGATCTAGCACCAGCATCAACTCAGTAATTGAACAGCCATGTCTCTACAGTAGCCCAGAACAGACAAACCAAACACTGGTTGTAGCTACACCACTAGATGCCACTGAATCCTTTCGGTTTTTTTTCTCAACCCTGTAACCCCAATTATGGAGAATAGTTTTCATGAAGTAAAATCACAAAAAACATTTAGTCAGTAACGGTGATATTTGGATATCACTCAGTGCAGTGCTATAACCTCTAACTCTTTTGTGGGTACTGTACCTAAATATAAAAGCAGACATTTCCCCTGTGGTCTGTAAAACCTGCCTGAGATGCACTGCATTGTTTAGCGTATATGTGGCCCTATATTGTGTATAATGAGGGTATTTGATGATGTGTGGCTGGTGTAATTAAGCCAATGAGTTTACAGCAGAGAGGTTATCCAACACCAACCAAGTCATAAGCACAAGTAATGGTGTGAGACCATGGGTTCACTCTGTGGTAAAAAAGAGAAATGAAAAGCTCACACAATCAGCAGGTTTTAGAGTCTATTGTGCTTTAAAAGCGATAAGCAGTTCACTTTTAAAAAAAATAGCCAACAGAGAAGGTTGCAACAAACCAGCCATTGCTCAAAGTTCAATTGCATTAGGTAATATCTTTAAATGATTTCATAACAGTTTATGTACAGTAGCATGTGGGATCTAAATGTACTTAGTTACATTCTGCACCCACTGCAAACAATGAGCAGTAGTGGCCATAATGTTAACATGTAGATAAGACTTGTGGGTTGAGCTCAGTGCTCTGTCTCAGGCAGACTTCAGTTTCCACCTGTATGTTGTTTTCTGCATTTTATCTATACATTGACAACAATTTTAGGTTTTGGAATTATTTTGCCTTAAAAGTTTTTCCTAAATGGAAAGCAAACAATCACAATTACAAGCACAACCACATTCAAACAGACATGAGGAAGTGCTCACATGAAGCTCTGTGCATTTTGTGTTTTTGCTCAGAGGGAAATGAAACCTTTCTGTGGCCGCAGAGGAATATCTACTCTTGGTCATTACCAGCTGCCTCGGCTCACCACTCTGTTTCTGTCCCACCGATGAGAACATAAAGGTGCTGTAGAACTTACGACTAACAGCAAATTCCTGGCAGGGAAGAGAGTTTAAATATTCAGAGATGGGTTTTGGGGAGGACCTGTGGTGCCCCCAGGCACATGCAGCTGTCATGCGGCTGCTGGACTCAGAGCTTCACCTGATGGAGGTCATGAAGAAGTGGATGGGTCAGCGGTCTAAGAGCGAGCGGGAGTTTTCAGTGCAGCTGCATCACATGGCTGCCATTGTGGAGAAGCTGGACCGGCCTCAGCTCGGTGCAGGACTGGACTACATCAGCCAGCTCAACAAGGTGAGGTCACTCTGCTCCTGATTCAACTGATCATTTTATTTTATTTTATTTTATTATTTTAACATCATCAGCGTTTCCCATAAAGAATTTATTTGAGTGTCTCACTGAAATAGACCTGCCTCTGTCAAAACTTTCATTATTGCAACATAAAAATGCTGATAGACTGAAATATCTGAGAGAATTATGCACTCATATGTGGTTATATTTGGAAATATAGTACTTCCCTTAAAATTACACATAATTGAAAATAAAAAAATCCAAATATGTGACTGCTAAGGACTCATTGAGTGCGTTTGGGTGCAGCATGAAAATACACTGCATATGAACAGTCAAAAGTTACCCAGAGTAAATCTGTAAAAGTAGGTTTTTCTCTTTGAGGGACAACGTGGAAATAATCCTGACCAAACCTGTCATTATTTAAATTTATTTAAATGTTTCAATATGTTCTCAGATACAAATAAGAAAGTACTTTGCAGCGCACATACGGTATGCCTCCACTTTGGACAGGACAATCCTTTAAATTTGATACTTTAATAATACAAATTGTTTTAGAATTTTTTATTTGCAACCAGTAAAATCTATTATATTGTTATAGTGCTACCTGTAGATTAAATGCCAATAAGCGTTGATTTAATTTTTAATTTACCTAAATTGATCATATACTGAAATTAATTTTGACAATAATAAATATGTCTAATATTGTGTAGGCTGATATGGGTGTGGAAAGTATAAATAGGTGCAGGTTGGACCAAAGAAATCCTGGAAAGCAACAATCCTCACAGTTAGGGAGTCATGAGCCAAAATCCTAAAGATTGTCTTTATAAATAACCACTTGGTGGCTCTATCCATGCCAAAAACGACCAGTTTGTTTTTGGCCTGTGGTCTTTTATTGAAATGTATTGAGTATTTCTAAGATAAATTGCTTAGTAAGAAACAAAAAGACAGATGCAGATCCAAATAGAGGTTAAAACTTGTGAAGCGTTGGCTGGGTTGTGTGTTATTAATTGAGTTCCACTTGTTTATGTTCTGTTGTTTGAATGCCCCCCCGACCTTTGTCCCACGATCTGTCAGTCGTGGGGAGTGCTGGTCTCTCAGACGGACTTTCTGAGCCAGGTGATGAAGAAGTGCTCCGAGGATCTGCTGGACGGTCCCATCAGCAAACTGACTCTGCTCATCAGAGACAAACAGCAGCTCCGTAAAACCTACTCAGAGCAGTGGAACCTGCTGAAGCAGGAGCTCAACAAGGTGTGTGACTCCTTGTCCCTTAAATTGACACAGACAGTCAACAAACATACACAAGAAAATCTAACTAAATACTAAACAAATATGTCTTGCTTTTATTCGTAAATGAAGACATCTTTGTTTGCATGTTTTAACCCTTACAAACCGTTCATATCCAACGCCTTCACAGTATGGTCCGGGTCAAATTTGACCCAGTCCAAGAAAGTCCTCATAAAAAGTGTCTATACCATATTTTGAACTACAGATCTATTTAGAATATGTAAATAGCCTATCTTACATTAATAAATTCATTATTAATCCTTAATTTATGATTTTAGATAGCATGAGAGTGTATTTTTTAGGTTCTAGACCACTCGTTTTTGAAAAAAAACACCTATATCACACTAAATCATGTCCTGTTTTAACTAAGACATGAAAACATAACAGCCATAATGATGTCAGATGCATAAGAGGTGGCCAATCTTGTGGGTCCTGGAGTCATTTGAATGACATTTTCCGCTGCCATCCTGCCTGAAACTTGCTGTGAAAGTGAGGACCAACAGATGGCATTTTGTTTGACATAAATGTCTCTCTTGCTGCCTGCTCCTCTCCCTCAGAGGCATCTTCATCAGATTGGCTGTAATCAGAGTTTTCCTCTATGTTATCTTCTTGCTCTGACACATCCTCCTCCAAATCACTCTCAGCTTCTTCATCATGGAAGATCTGATCAAGGACCTCTTGAAGAGTGAGTCTAGCTGCCATGACCTCTGTACCTCTGCCACTGAAAGGGCAGCTCTGGTACCTTTTATATTCTTAACTACCGCACCCCCCCTCCTCCAAATCATTGATTTGATTCTAATTTGTCTATTTTTAGATTATATTGTTACATTGCAGGTGCAGATACAGCTGCAGATGCAGGTGCAAGTCTCTGTGTCAAGGCATTTGTAGCACCTGTGCAAAAGTATAACATTTTTAAATATTTTCATTTTTGTGTATTTTGGGTCACAAATTTCAGGTTAAAAGACTGACATGTAGGGTATTTTTACTGCTGTCAAATGTCAAAACGGGACCCGAACAGTATGTAAGGGATAAGCAGTAGCATACTTAAATGTTACATATCTGAGTTGTTATGAAGCAATCCTTCATTTATTTTACAACCACTGCTGGACTTTCAAAATGACACGTTGAGAAGAAAAGTAAAGGAGGTGTTTCTTGTCATTATCACAATCTGGTCATATTTCTTGATGCTCTGGTATTTCTAATGGAAAGCAAACAACAAATGAAACTAACTATTACTATTATATGTACATAAAACATGATGGTCACAGTGTTAGAGTAGATATGATGTGATTCTTCATGCAGAACTTGTTGCTTTTAAAATCTGTTTGTTGTTCATCTTGATATGAAGATGAGCATTTTAGCAGCAGCTTTATATATAGACAACAGTCAAATGAAATGAGGTTCACTTGGCTGGAAATAGTGTGTGAAAATTTGCCTTTTTATGCTATGTCAAACTTGTGGCTGCTCTGCACTGTTTTTATTACCCAATTAATTTTTTTACTTTACTGTGCAGATGAAGCTCAAACGGCTTTGGGTTTGTGTGCATTGCTGTGTGGTTATAAAATAGATCATTGTGTTGCAACTGAACAACAAAGTCAAGAGACATGCTATCAGTTGTTTTTAAGTATTGCGACCAGCAGCACAACAAAGGTCAGATCATTTCCTCATAAGTCTTCTCTCATGTTTCGTGTTCCTCTTCAATGAAACATAAAAGGGCCACTATCCACTTCCTGTGTTATGTAGTGCTTACGTGCTTAGTTACACAGCTTTTAACCGCACAAATGGCACCTCTGAATAACAACCATGTTTGAACAGAATACTTTCCATCTATTTGTGTGCCGTTTATGCATCTGTGTGCTGCTTCAGGTGACCCAGACAGAGCTGGAGAAGCTGAAGAGCAGCTACAGACAGGCAGCCAGAGATGCAGCTCAGGCTAAGAGGAAGTACCAGGAGGCCAATAAAGGTGGGGATCCTAGTATCACTTACTTCTCTGAACAGAAAAAGTTTCACACTGGTTTCACAGTCTGGCTTTATTTTCATACTGTGTAAAACTCATATGTGTATTTCTATCATGACAAAGTCCCCTCCCTTTCCTGTGTGCAGATAAAGATCGAGACAAGGCTAAAGAACGCTACGTCAAGGCTTCACTGAAACTCTACGAGTTGCATAATGAGTATGTGCTGTCTGTGCGAGCTGCTCAAGTTTACCATCAGCACCACTACAGTCAGATCCAGCCTGCCCTGCTCAGTGCACTACAGACTCTGCAGCAGGAGATGGTGCTCATACTGTAAGATTACACACACTACAGTGGTTCTATTCACGGTGTTTCTGTGTGCATTTAGTAGATTGATTTCTGTTCACTCACAATAAATATTAGAGAGGAATGCTGACCTCACAAGCACATTTTAATTATACCGCAGTTAGTTTGTTTTCACCTATTAGACACAAATCAATTTCCAAACATTACTACAACAACATTTTTAAACTTTCAGCCAGCCATTTGTTTTAATTAATGCCAGAACAATACTTTAAACAATTTGCAGAGAGTTGTTGCTTAAGATAGCTAATGCAGTCCAGAGAACAACAATAATAAATAAATATAAAAAATCATTATGTTAATGATATTTGGTCATGCATTGAGAGTACTCACTGCTTTAACAGTTTTTTTTTGTTTTTCATATGGCGTGAAGATTAATTGCATTAAATGTTTGAGAGCCAGCTGTCAGATATCAGATGTCACAGCTTGTTTGGCAACTGCGTGAAACTTCATTACAGCTGTAACGAGCAATGAAGCAAATCTGACAAAAATGAAAATATCTGAATAATGACTGTGATGCACAGCTTATCTCTCAAAGGAGATTCTCACAGTACTGATATGAATCAACTAACCAAACTAGATTCTTCGGTTGTGTTTTGGAAGCAAAAATGTAATTCACTGTATATGTGGTTTGAACAACAGGCTACCATCTGTGTATTTGGTCTGTTTTCATGTTCCACCCCTGACATCTAACCCAGAAAGGAGATCCTGCAGGAGTATTTCGACATCTCCACTCTCCTCCATTATGAAGTGGTGCGGATCCACAGGGAGATGTCTTCTGCTCTAACTGTCATCGAGCCTCACAGCGAATATGAGAGCTTCATCCACCAGAACAGGTAGACTGAGGAAAAAACCTCCCCTCAGATGGCAACAATGCAATCATGAAAGATAACTCTACAGAGCAATGATATTGTGGACTGTGTGTTTGTGTTTGGAGGTCTGTAGGGGAGATTCCTGCTTGTGCAGAGTTTGATTGCAGTCTTCTGGAGGACACTGAGCAGCTAAAACCCAGAGAGATTGAACTTAACGATCTCACGCTTGAGACAATCCAGCACAAGTGAGAACAAACAATGCAATCTCATCCAAATGACTCAACTCTAATTTCCTTTTTTAATGTCTCTCAACTACTTCCTCCTCCTTACGCTCTCTGTTCTTTTTACCTCTTGTTTCCTTTTTTGCATCAGTTACTTCTGCTCATGTTTTTTCTCTGTCTCCTTCTCCCAGACTGACTGCAGTAGAGGAAGAGCTGCTGGATCTGGCTAGGACAATGAGCTCCCAGCAGACCTCGGTGGAACAGCTGGAGCTGGAGCTGGAGGCGGAGCAGGAAGGTGTCAAGAAGGGCCAGAGGTTAGGGGATCACAGACAGGAGCCAGAATCAGTGATGTTCTGATGTTATGTTTAGAGGTTATAGAGGATGTTTCAAAATAATAACCCTGCCTTTGGTAGCTGTGGAGACAAATTACTGAAGTTTTCCTTCCCATCGGGAGAGTTCAGGGTGCTCTTGGCTGGGCAGCAGCTAACAACCAGCGTGGTCTCTGGGGGCTGTAAGTGCCTTACAGATTATAATACAGCGATATGTAAGAGTTATGGAGCTTGATTTCCTTATTTGTCTTGGTTGATGGGGTTGTCTGAAGGTGTTAGAGGTTTACGGTCCTTTGGGAGTGAAGGAGTCATTAACAAGCTCCTGGAAACAATGTGTTTATTTGCAAAAAGTTGATACCTTCTAAGGGCAGCTGGGGAGCCCATATGGTGGTGGTGTTAGTGAGGTGAGTAGAGGTTATGCTGCCCTTCAGTCTGTAGTTTGTAGAAACATTTTGTAAATCAAAAGTGACTTCTGTTTGAGGTTGACCTAGTGTGACCTCATGTTGTAACTGAGTTTACTAACTGAGATCATTTCAGAGGCTTTCATTGATGAAACTTTTTTCATTCAGATTGATTTTTAAAGGGTTTTTTTGCTTACAGAAACTTGGTCAGGCAATAGCACGTTGGACGACACAAAAGTCACAAGACTTCAACACTTTGTGTCCATTTTGGTTTAAGAAATAGTTTTTGGGTAATATACATGTATTATTTTTAAATGCCATTTGTATGGTAAATATAAAGCTACAGTTAGAAGCAAGTTAATTTAGCTCAGCACAAAGACAGAAACAGTTAGCCTGACTCTGCCCAAAGGTTTACCAAAACCTGCCTGCCAGCCCCTCTACATGTTACTAATCAACACATCATATCTTGTTTGATTAATCTGTACAAATGCCAAAGTGTACGTGCTGTGTAATCTATGAATGGGAATTTGGAGGTGAATGTCAATAGGGGTCCAACAGGAAATGTTTGCCCTGCTACCCTCTAACAGGTTAATCCAGCCATGCACTCTTGTTCATTTGTGTGTTTATTTGCTATAAAGATCACAGCAATCAACCCTTTGCTCATTTTTAGAAGTCTTGTTCACTTCGCTAGCAGGACTCTTGGGTCATTAAAGGTTTACTGGTCTTATTTGCTCCAGAATGAAGGCTGAATTAGCTGTCGCTAGAGAAGCCTTGTTATTGATTGCATTAGTCAATAGGAAGCATCTGTAAACCTCTTTGCACTGACAGCTTTTTTATTGATCTGTGTGTGGTCTTGTAGTCTATTTACGTCAGTTGTGTTGTTTTAGTGACTTTGTGCTATAATTTTCCTTCCCTTACTTTGTCCAGGGTCTACTTGTTCAGCAAGAGACATGCAATGGAGGAGTGCCGGCAGCAGGTTGCTCTGTCTCAGGGTATGAGAGCCAAGCTGGAGGTTCAGAGGCTTCTTCTAAAGGATAAACTGGACCAGCTGGGCTCCAAAGAACCTCCCTCTGCTCTGAGGCTGGACCCAGACTCTGTCTCACTTTCTTCCAGCATAAGCAGTGTATGTTGTCTCTGCCAGTCCGTCCTTCCTTTGTCTTTTTTTAGCTCCTATAAGTATCAGTATCAGTCAGACAGGTTTAAAAAAGTGGTTGTCTGTTGTATACTCAGAAAACAAGCCATGGTATGAGGAAGAAAGATGTAATGTTGGATCATAGACAATTGAAACTAGTTTTGATGTGAAGAAGAAAGAGATCATGTTGGTATTTAAACTCAAAGAACCAGTCCATCTGTCTTTCTGTACATACCTCACCTTGACCTAAACTCACATAATGACTTACTAAATCTGTTTACATACTCTTTTGTACTGGAGGTGTGACAAAGTCATGGTTATGTAAGCCTCACGTCAAGACTAGCAAGTTCCGAGTCAAGCCCATGTCCTACACTTAGTTTGATTTTGAATCCAAAACAAATCATTATGGAAAAAGAAAAAACTTGATACCCATCAATGACTGAAAGCTAATGTCAGACATTGCTGTTTCCTTACTTAGTTTTATTTTGTGCAACATTTTAATTTGTGCAATACTTTGATTTACAACCAAATACGTGCAAAACTAATGACATTCCCATCAGCCTCAGCTGTAGGTCTACTTTGTGTTCACTGCTAAATAGCAAATGTTAGCATGCTAACTAAGATGGTGAACATGGTATAAAGATTATACCTGCTAGTTGTCATTATGAGCATGTTAGCATGCTGACATTAGCATTTAGCTGAAAGCACAGCTGTGCCCAAGTACAGCATCACAGAGCTTCTAGTGGGGCTGTAGACTGTTTTGTGCCAAATTTGTGACTTGAAAATGACTTACATTCAACTCATGTGACTTCAAATCAGTCTTTTCAATTAATAAATGATCCCATAGTGACAACCCGGCTTTCTTTACCACTAAACAACTGAACAATTCTTTCTTTTATTTGATGATAATAGTAGACTTTTTTTTTTTTTCAGGACCACAGCCAGACCTCTTCTAAACTCCTCATGGAGGGGATCATAAATAATCTGAGTGGCCTGTTTAAGTCCAAATATGAGGTAGGTTAAAACTGAATTATAATAAAGGCACAGTAATTAGAGATGAATAAATAGATTACAAGTGGTATCACATTGTACACAATTAACAGTATCTATTTCTCAGTATGTTGTTAAAGGACATGAAGGGAGGACATTTATTCTAGTTGAAGGACACCTCCCCTTCTCACTCTTTTACCTCCTTAACTCTGACTGCAGTGCCTGTTTTTGTACACTCAAACCTCTGAACACACAACAAACAATTCATCATATCTGGGATAAAGTGGCAGAGTTTGAACCCACGCTGCTGAGCTCAATCAGGAACATGATCTTTCTCTGGGGTCTCGTGCTCCTGCAGGCATCATTGGTCTTATGGAGGTCAGCTTTGTCAGTCAAGTTACTACTTTCTAAATTTTGGCTGACCTAAAAGAAAGTTTACTCCTCAGGCAGCCAGTTTATCATTTTATCATGGCTGACAGATAATAGCACATGCAACTGTCCTGCACACAAATTCTCAGTAGTCAGTCTTTTGAATTCTTAATCTGTCAGAAAGATAAAAACAACTGTGTGCGTGATGTAACAGAATATCTACTATTTTACTGTCTACAATTCACTGGACTTCAAGCCTAAATTATTTGCTGCTTTTCTTTTAAGTGTGAACTACTGCTCTCCAACTGCCAACTATGTGGTACCCTGGAGGCATTGAAGGTGTTGCAGTTAGACTTTAAAGTATTACAGACTGTTCTTTGAAATATATCCAGATAATCTCTGCAGAATCACCCTAAAACCCATTCTCTTTTACTTCTTATTGTTTCATTATTCATGTTTGCTTTAAAGATTCAGCTTTTCTCTTTTTCTGCCTCCAGGTGCTTCCGGTCCCCACCCCAGTGCACGAGGTGGATCGTCCTCTGGGCCAGCAGGACTGGTACCATGGAGCCATTCCCAGACTTGAGGTCCAGCAGCTTCTAAAGAATGATGGAGACTTCTTGGTGAGGAAGAGTCAAGAGAAACAGGGTTATGTGCTCTCTGTGCAGTGGGATGGATCCTGTAAGCATTTCCTCATTCAGAACCTGGATGTAAGTTAATCTGCTCAATAGAACAAAACACTTTTGCACAAGACAGTTATTTAAACAACTGAACAATTTAAAAAGCTATTTTGTGAGATGTGTTTTTTAAAAATGTATTTTTTGAAATGTTTCTCCTTCCTGTGTGTTAGCACATCAGTTCACTTTTGCAAATGCTTTTTCCATGTGTGTCAGTAGAATCTGTACCGTCTGGATGGAGAAAGCTTTCAGAGTATCCCGATGCTGATCTATCATTTACTATCATCACGACAACACATCACCAAGAAGTCAGACATAGTGCTAAAGAAACCTGTACTGAAGGTACTTACACGCACAAACACACACACTCCAGACTAACATGTTAGAAAGCATAATTCACACACTTTCTAAAATGTTAGAAGTGTCCCAGAGCTTAAACGCACTATTTTAATATATTAACTGCTATTAAAGTGCTCCAATAGTTATCACAGACGAGTACATGCAGATCCAAACGTACTCTCTTATGATATTTTCCTAAAATGCTCCTACCTTACCTTTTCTCTCCCTCTTGCTGGTCTCACAGTTTAAAGCAGCACCACTATGTTATCACTCTTATTGTTCATTTTTAATCCCATTAGGACAAGTGGGTCCTTGAACATGATGATATTATCTTGGGCCATCTCATTGGACGGGTAAGTGAACTTAACACCTTGTGTCCATGTTGTCTGTCTCTGACTAAGATATCTTAAAATGTTGTGAATACATTTGCATTAAATCTAGTGGAAAGTTTGGTCACAGGGCAAAGAAGACCTGCTTATTGAGTCACACTTATTTACTTTTATTGCCAGTAAGTCGACATAACAAGAGGCCAGCTCTTCTTTGTTGGTTTAATTGAACAACATGAGAGCTCTGGAGACCTTATTGCCAGTTTAAAGAATATTTTCACACTTTTGTAAGTCTGTCTCACATGTGCACATTGAAAGGGTTTATGTTCACCACAATGGTTTCTCTTCTCCATAATGGCTGAAAAGAGATTTCACTGTAAGTTTCAGCAAAAATATGTTCTAAAGTTCTAAAGTGCAAAAACTAATATAAAGCTTCAGCGGTGTGAATTAGTGAAGTTGAAATCACATTATGGGCAGGAGGAACAGTTACAGTATCAGTACCAGTTACAGTAATAACTATTTTAGTGTACATGTGAGCATGTGAATATTGTATTGAAATAGCCTGGAAAAAATGCAAACCTGACCTGCTAATTTAACCAAAACATTGGTTGAAGTCATTTTTAAAGGCCACTTGCGTAACATTTATGAGCGTCTATTGGCAGAAATTGAATATAATATTCAAAGATATGTTTTCATTGTAGTATCACCTGAAAATAAGAATTGTTCTGTTTTTGTTAACTTAGACTGAGCTGTTTTTATTACAGTTTTTCTCCATTGGTTTGGCTCATTTCTTGAAACAGAAATGACATTCTCAAAACAACATGGACAAACCTCCAAACCACTTGGCAAATGTTCACAACAGAATTGTATTTCCCATTGATTTCGTCACATTGCAAATGTCTTAGTATATCTTTGCAAATGATTAAGTACAGTGAGCCTACATTTAGCACAGTTAGCCTACATTTAGCACACTTTCCAAGTGAATAGATCCTGTTGATCTAAACTGATTGATTGATTCTCAGTCTAATGGTTGTTCTCTCCAAAACATGTCAGCATCATTTCATTCTATAAGTCATCACCTGCACAATAGTCTGTTCAATTGTCAAAATTAGTCAACATAATCATATCAACATAATACCATGAATACCTTATACTGTATTTATTTACAGCACTGTAGGCTACATATACTTTTCCTTGTTTTTGTTTATGTGTTTATATAACAGTATACTATGCTTTATATATTTTCTTTTTACTGTGATATGGAGGTTACTTTATGTGTGTGAATAAAAAATCCTGTTTTTTTATTTTTATTTTTTCAGTTTTATACACAATTGTATTCTGTTAGCTAGACAAAAAAACTAGTACAGTAACCATTGTCAAGGAAGGACTGGGCTAAGACTGAGAGGTGGACATGAGGGATATTTCAATGGTCCTCTGCCATAGTGACAAAACATCTAATCATTTTGACTTGCAGTGCTTACACAATGCCAAAGGGACAATGCATTTTGGGGGCACTGACTATTTATATGAGAAAGGAATTTAGTTTTGACACATGAGTGAACTGTTTTGGGAGAGATATGAGCTTTTGCAGGTGAACCATGGGGTTGTGCTGAACCATCCAGGTTATTTTGGCAAAAGCACCAAGAGTGTTGAGAACGTCCGGTCTGTTTCAAGAAATGAGCCTAAGCAATTGAGAAGGATCTTTCGCCTTTTGGGGGCACTGACTTTTTATATGGGAAAGGAATTTAGTTTTGAAGTATGCGTAAACAGTTTTGGGAGAGATATGAGCTTTTGCAAGTGAGCTATGGTGTTGTGCTGAACTGTAAGACTGTTTTGCCAAATGATCTTAGAGTTTTGAGGATGTAATTTCTGTTTCAAGAAATGAGTCAAACCAATGGAGAAAAACTGTAACATGGGTAGCGGGTTCTCTTCCAAGGAATCCTTATACACTGGTCCTTTAGCAAGCACAGTGTTGTCTTGCCTTGTGGTGTTTTAATATTAACTGTTTCATTTAAAATGTTCTTAAAACCTTGCACATATAATGTTCATCAAGGAAATAGTTTACTCTGGATTCGATATTCTAAAATAGAAAAGAGGGTTACTGTAAGTGTAACTGTAACCGTTCACACTTCACAGGGTAACTTTGGAGAAGTGTACAATGGTCGCTTACGCTCTGATAACACTCCTGTAGCAGTAAAATCCTGTAAAGAGAACCTGGCCCCGGAGCACAAGAGTAAGTTCCTGATGGAAGCCAGGTTAGTATGAACAAACACACACGCACGCACACACACACACACACACACACACACACACACACACACACACACACACACACACACACACACACACACACACACACACACACACACACACACTCACTGACTCCTCTGTACTCCTCTCCTGTGCTGTCTAGGATCCTGAAGCAGTACGACCATCCTAACATTGTGAAGCTGATTGGAGTGTGCACTCAGAAACAGCCCATCTACATCATCATGGAGCTCATTCAGGGTAAGTATGACCCTGCTTGACTCTAAGTTTATATGTCGCTGCTTGTTTACCTGACAGTTTCAAGCTTTATTGTACCATTATTGCTTTCCCTCTTTGTTTCTCCATAATCACTCAATGTGTGTGTGTGTGTGTGTGTGTGTGTGTGTGTGTGTGTGTGTGTGTGTGTGTGTGTGTGTGTGTGTGTGTGTGTGTGTGTGTGTTTGTGTCTACATATTTCATAAGGTGGTGATTTTCTCTCCTTCTTGCGGCATGAAAGTCACAATCTGGCGCCTAAGGTGTTGGTCAAAATGACAGAAAATGTAGCATCTGGCATGGAGTACCTGGAGAGCAAGAAGTGTATCCACAGGTTGGTCAATTGTACTTTGTGAAGTGGTTTGGTATGAAAAGGAAGGCGATCAATGGGGCACGGCGGGGTCAAGAGGAAGTTTCCATCACAGAGATTTACATGCAATAATAGTTGATGTTGCATTGTCAACATTGTCATTGTAACAGAGGACGTTCCCCTAGACAGCAACCTGCATACACAATTAATGTCAATAGAACTCTAACCCCATCAATAGCCAGTTTAAATTAATGATGATATCATTCTCCAAATTGATTTATAGTAATGCCATACACAATCATTTAGTGAAAATGTGTACAACAGCAGACTAATTGCACATGACTCCTACGAGCAGTCATAAATTATGTTTGTGTAACAGAGAAAATTCAAAATAAGATAAAATTTGTGAAGTTCTCCTAAATCAGTTATACAAACCAGTTAAGAACAAATATGTTCATACAAGTGGTTCTTGCATGAGGCCCATGGTCCATATTGAAAGTATATTTTCAGCTTCTGAATAATTGTATATTTTGCACATTGTGTTACAATAAGAGCAAAACTAATTGTAAAAAAAAGTTTAATACTGTTTACAGATAAACTGTGTACGACATAACAAACACAAAGAAGCGTCCTTAGACTTAGATTGTGTATTTTATGTCGGATTTTTTCCAAACTGTGTGTTGGATCTAAAGCCCCCATGAATTTAACATAAAACACAGCAGAGCAGTGTGTCAGACAAATAATTGTTGCAGTGAAAATTAATTAGTTTGCTTATTAAAGCATGTTCATTTTACATAAAGTATGATCTAGTTTCCACAAGAACTAGAGTGGTACAAGCTGCAGGCAGGACCTCAAAGCATTTATGATGCATAATACAAAACTTAATTTACTTCCACATCATTCACTTCACCTACAGGAACTGTTAAGCGAAATGCACTTTCCCCACAACACTTCCCCATATGTTGTTGTAGCAATCAGTTGATTGAAATGAGAAATAAAACATTTTCTTAATAGAGGAAGCGGGGAACACGCTCTGCTGACTGACCTACAATCTCTTTCACTTAAATGAAAAAGACACACCCATGAATGTCCACAGTAACTTACAATAAGTGCATTCACACCATTGACAGAATGCGATTCTCACTCAAGAACAAGAGATAGATGTCATTACAAAACTGTAACCCTGCCAATTAAAACATCTAAAAGCATGTTCAGAGAGCTACGGTGCAGGTTTTGTTTTATTTTTTAACAACTGAGACATTAGTACACACTGGTGGTGGAAGATGGGTAGTGACTTTCAGTTGGATTTATTCCACAGAGAAGAACCTCGACTGTACTGCTTTTTTTAAATTATTAATTGTTAATTTCTCTTTTAAATAAACCTTTATTTGTATAGCAGCTTTCAAACAAAGGATACAGCTCAAAGTTCTTTACATAAAATTCTATTAAACACATTTAAAGGTCCAGTGTGTAACATTTAGGAGTATCTATTGGCAGAAATGGAATATAATATTAATAAGTATGTTTTCATTAGTGTATAATCACCTCAAAATAAGAATCGCTGGGTTTTTGTTACCTTAGAATGAGATGTTTTTATCCACAGACCCTGTGTGTAGCAGTCCACCATGTTGAACCACCATGTTTTTACAGAAGCCCAGAAAGGACAAATCAAGCACTGGCTGAGATAGGGCCTTCTGCGTTCGATTCACAGCATACTCAAATACAGACATGAGTGGTGTTCAGTTAGCTGGTATGTCACTAAATCCTACACACTGGTTCTTTAAACCATATTAAACACATAAAAGTTTGCAAAGAAACAGCAGACTGGAAGTTTGGATATTAATAGGCTGTAAAGACCGAGTCCAAGGATGCTGAAATGGGTGTGATGTGTTCTTTTAGAACATTTTTTACAAGCCAAGTGAAAAACTGGCTCACAAGCCCGACTACAGCTACAGAGACAGCCTCTAAAGACTGTAGATCTCTGAGTGAGCGAGAACTTGTTATAAAGATCAAACATGGGGTGTTGTATGTAGCCTACAAACATAACAAATCTTGCTTTCAGAGCACAAGGAAGGAAAAATTAGAAAAAAGTTGAGATACTTAAATATTGCAAGAATATGTCAAACTGAACAGCTAATTATTTGTGAAAATACTAAATTACGGAGTTGTATGCATGATTTCTGTAGTGTTTTAGGGCATTTGCTGTTGAGTGGGAGCAGTTGCGGTGCTTTGGAGGCATCAGTGGAGGTTGTAGGTGCTGTCGAGAAAACATGAGGTTGTGACTCCCGGCTCATTATGGGAGCACTGTGCGATTTGCCCAGTGGGGACAGATCAGAGCAGGCTGCTGGTAGCTGCTCAGCCTGTAATGCTGCATGTCAAACTGCCTCGCATGCAACAGCAGAGACATGACAAAAATGCCTGTTCTCACGCTTTTTAGTACCGTCTCTTCTCTTGCTGGTTCTCTTTTTTTCATATGGAGCATGTTGTTTTTTTTGTCTTTTTTGTATCCAGTTTTCATCAGCCTCTGCATACAACTGTCTTAAGTCTTTTTTTGTTCTTTCTTGTTGTCTCTTTTAAAGGGACCTGGCAGCGAGAAACTGTCTGGTTGCAGAGAACAACTTGGTGAAGATCAGTGACTTTGGGATGTCCCGTCAGCAAGAAGACGGTGTCTACTCAACAGAGGGCGGCCTCAGACAGATCCCTGTCAAATGGACGGCTCCTGAAGCCCTGAACTATGGTACGTCACAACTGCCTCTGCCCTGCAGTCACAGCCAGAAACACTTCTCCTGTCTCTCTCTGCCAATAGTCAATTAAAAACTGACAGACCTGTGCATGTGCCTTTGTCCATGCTGCCCTCTGCTGGTGTTTTCAGGTCGTTATACCACAGAGAGTGATGTATGGAGTTTTGGTGTCTTACTGTGGGAGACCTTCTCCATGGGAATGACACCCTACACGAGCATGAACAACCAACAGACACGAGACGAGGTGGAGAAAGGTAAAGACTCATATGTTGTCAATGTGTTTGTGCTCAGATGCCGTTCCTGAATTTCATGTTTCAGAAAATGTGTGGAGTGCTAAGCGTCTCTGTGTGTTTCAGGATACCGTATGCCTGCTCCACATGGCTGCCCCGTGGAAATCTCCAGGATTATGAACAACTGCTGGCAATACGAACCCAGAAACAGGCCGTCTTTCAAGAAACTTCGGGCTGAGCTCAGTGTCATATACAACAAAATTACATAACAGAAGCCTTTGGATTTGACATCTACTGTAGGCTACATTATAATAATTTTTTTTGTTCAGGAAAAATGTTAAAATCCAGTATGAACAGTGAAACAGACCTCCAAGAAACATGCAAATTGAAAAGCAAATGAAAAATGGTTAAAAAAAATATTGAACAAACTTGGTCTTGTAAAATGTCAGTGAACTAGTTGATGGCAGCATTCTTGTTTCTTCCCTTGTTGTTCTGGTTTGACAGCACAAAGTGTGGTACTTACTGCTTAGTATTTGAATTGTTTAAACCTAACACCATTGTGGTCTGTCTCAAAGAAACCACAGAGATGTATTAAACTGACACATCCTCTTGAGGAGTGTAGACGCTGCCAACACAGACACCAGAACAATAAGGTTTGTGTTGGCAGTCTTGTTCGATGTTTTTGACGGTTTCGTTGCCTGTTGGGTATTTAGGATCCAACTGCAGACCATCCTCTTGAGGATCTTAGTTCTGTTGTCATTGGAAGCATATACGTTTTCCAGGATGGAGTAACAGGACTACTTTTGATCAGAAGTGGAAGAAATAAAAGTAGCAATACCCCACAATAGAAATACTTTGTTACAAGTAAGAGTCCTGCATTCAGAATGATATTTAAGTAAAAGTATTCAAAATATACTTAAAGTACAAAAAGGTCATAGTATTCTTTATGCAGAATGAAACCGTTTCAAAATAATGTGTATTATATTAATGTATTATTTAATAGTTAGTAGTTAATAATCTGAATTTGCAAAGTAACTTGTAACTAAAGCTTTTAAATAAATGTGGCAGAGTGAGTAAAAGTAAAAGTCTATTTGCTTCTTGAGCTGTTTTTGATTCATTTTTCACAGGATGTTAACTTAAAGCTGCTACAATTAATATTTTTACCTCAACAATGGATGAAATGACTGTGTGTGATAAGGCGACGCCTGTGACAAACCCACAGAGTTATCACCAGACTCTCCTCAGCTCTACAGAGTGTATCTGTTAGCTCATTACCTGCTAGCAGATAGCAACCTGCAGTTATTATATTTAGTTAGAATATTATTTGTTTTTTAAACATTATTTTGGATTCTGGTTGAAGAGACAATTATAACTAAATTAATAGAAAAACAGCCTGAAATTAGTCTATAAGCTTTAAATTTTCACATGGAAGTTATTTTGGTGCAGTATACTACATTACATATACTGAATTAAAGACAGAAATTTGTAATCAGACACAAGTGTGATTTAACTAAAAACTGTGATACAGCTACTCTTTGACACGTGATTAAAGTTCATCTTGTGAGCCTGTAGTCTCCATCAGTGAGGCGTGTGTTTATTTACAGTCTTTCACCAAACTATGGTCTTGTTTTGATTTCAACAACAGATTTCTTACACAATGAACTCACAGCACACACAGATTGGTGTAGGCTGCTGAAATGGATCTGCTTGTGTAAATTATACTTATGTCTGTAAACGTGGTGATGATTTTACACCTACTGTAATCATTTGGGGCCTCAAGTGAAGTCAGTTGAGCGCTCACAGATCTTCTGGCTTCAGCCAATCGGTGTGTGTCTATTCAGTGGGGGCAGGGTGAAATGAACACTTCAAGTTCAGAGTTAATATTTATACAATTACACTTACAGCTTTGATTTAGTGACACTTTGTTTTTACACTCGATTTTGACTCCAACTACTTATCAACTGAAGTCAAATATAATGGATTTAACTCTATCAGAGTAGAATTAACTCTACTTTTGCTCAAATTTCACTTACACTAACAATGTAACTCTTCTGAATTTGCTGTCATCACGGTCCCTGTTGGTATAATGGTCAGGCGGCCAGATACAATTGTCCATAAAGTGTATCTACAGATGGGTCGCCTTCAGTGGAGTTCCTGTTGAACCACCATGTTTCTACAGTAGCCCAGGAGGGACAAATCAAACATTGGCTCTAGAAAGGAATGTTACTCTTTTTCTTGCATTTCACAGCCACCATAGTTTCTGCTTCACCCTTGGAAGGGGTCTTTCACACAGTTTTCTTATGGTTCAATAAGGACGTAGTCTGAGGTGCCCGGAAGATATTTAGCTCACATGGCTGCTAGCATGAGCTCATTTTGGTTTGCCAGACTCATGGTCTTGTTAGGGATTAGTCATTTCAATAGATTTTAATACACATAGATGTGAAAGCCTGCATTTTATAAAGCTAATACACACAAAGATAAAAAAAACACAGACACATAGTCTCATCTCTGCTTGTGAGCTACATTAGGTTATCTCCAAGGTCGGAAGCACCCAGTTCTGACCGTTGCTCTAGTTTCATAAATGATTTTGTATGGGAGGGGAAGCAGGGTGGAATTACTAATTTTTCTTTTAGGGCGCTGTTTCCTCGGAACTGGTTGGACCGAGACTGGAGACTGGGACCAGTCTGAGCACCAACAAGGATGCACCAAGTCTAAACCACTGTTGCGTCCCATCATATAGTCCACCAATCACATTGCTTAATATAAACAAATATAACCTCTTGTAACTTTTGGTCATTACTCTTTTTGGGGCGAGAAAAGAGTAACAGCACTCCGCTGACTGTGGCTTCTCAATCCAACAAGATCCTTGTACAAGTATTATTTTAATTATACAATTCTAAATAAACTTCTTAACTGAGAGAAGTTGTTTGTCTTATGTCCTAAAGATCATTTTGATACACGACAGTCTTGTTGAACGTTTTTCCTGGAGGGGACAAAACAGCCCTGACTACAAAGGTTCTTGCCTACTGTAACTATATTAGTACTCTCACAACAAAATGAAAACTGCCAGGGCCCTGAAATAATAGATAAAATCATGCTTAAATGTTTTGTTTGGTCATTCTGCATAAAAAAATTGTACTCTCTCATTTTTCAAGACTGTGAAAAAATAAATAAACAAATAATACTTTAATTTATTTTATATAGCGCCTTAAAAGGTACTCAAAGGTACTTTACATGGTAACAAGAGACGATAGCAGAAACAGCAAAGGCAATATCAGTATAAAGTATTAAAAACAACTAAAACAACTATAATTCACTTTTATTTGTATAGCGCCAATTCATAACAAAAGTTATCTCAGGAAACTTTTCAAATAGAGCAGGTCTAGATTGTCTCTTTATAACATTATTTACAGAAACCCAACAGTTTATCCTTAGCCAGCAGTTTTAAATATGATTCAATGTCGCCTGCCAATTACCAGAGTTGGTTTCTCAGCGATCAGTGTGTTGCTGAGTGGGGAAAATCTAAATAAATAAATCTATAAACAACTATAAACCTCATAAAAACAAAACAAAAAGAAAACTGTTGGCAATAAAAAAGGGGGGGATAAAACCATCAAATTGGATGCGCAGAGACAAGGCAAGTGACATTGTTAAGTGACACTGACGTGGCTCATCATGGCGGTAGTGTGGGTGTGTACAGTCATGGAGAGGTAACACTGAATTGATACAAATCAACAGCTGCAGACGCTGTTGTCTGGCTCTGAATATCCTTGGCTCAGTGTCAAAGTTGTACCAGGGGATTAGTGTAGTTGTTCTTTAAATTAGGTCACATTTCTCTCTGTTAAAACTTATTTAAAATGGATTAAGATCATTAACAGTGGTAATCGTTTTCATATTTCAGTGATAAAGCATTTTTACCTTCTGCAAGATTTCATGCCTACACCAATTTGAGATTAATCCCACAGAGAATGAAAACATGAGATTCTCAATGCAGAGGTACTGAGCTTTGAAATGATGCCGCTCAACAATAAGTTTACTGACTGAAGGTTTCTTCTGAACTACAGAACAGAAAAATAATAAGTGTACAAAAGAAACTGAGCACCTATTCAAAGTGCTTCTTGTAAGCTGAATGTATCAGCATTTGTGACTGTAAAAGATGGAAATGTTATGACCTACAATGACCTGCTCAACTTCAAGATCAAATTAATATGTCACACACCCAGCAAGGCCTTAATGAGAATTGAACTTCTTTTCTTCTTCTTTTCTAAAATAAGAAATACCTGCAGTGAGGAAGGCGTGGCACCTGTCATTTATCAGCCGAAGGTATGTGTCATTAACATTTTGTAGCGTCTCAAACTGACTGCTCATCCGTTTTGTAATTGAAACCACCTCACCGGTCGAGCACGTTCTGTAACTTCGAGTCGTCACCTGAGTGTCCCATGATGTTGAAACCTGCATTCATGTTCATTTGTTTCTGAGGAAACAAAACATAAATCTGAGACGATGCATAAAGAATAAATAAACTCTCTCCGCCTGAAAAAAAACTTACTTTTTGCTGGTTCCTGTATTTCAACCCCAATTCAAATTAATTTGAGTCTCATTTTGTATATTTTGCCCCCAGTGTTTAATTCACCTCCATATGCATCTTTATTAGACAGAGGTTGTTGAATATCTGACATGTTAATGAGTTTGTATGTTTACTAACAAAGTTACAAAATGCAAAAAGAATAAAATCATAAAACAATAATAATAATTAACAAATATTTATCTACGGACCTTCACTTCAATTCCAAGTGACTCCTGATTTTCTGCTCATAAAATCAATTGTGTAAAGAAATGATTTAATCAGACACACAAGAACAAAAGAAGATTTAATGGATGACCAATAAGTCAGCTACACATGCTACAAATCAAGTATCAGTCTCTATTGTGCATTTATTACACATATCTTCAATACACAAACACAACGACTCTGATTAGAGCTCCTCCATGGACCACACTATAAGAAAGAACAATCATGAACTGATTAATTATCAGTGTTACCGCTACTAGTAGCAGGGCTTTTCTGATTTGATAAGACTCTTAAATTTATCATTTTCAAATTCTCAAGTGAATGCAATATACTTGTAATATATATATAATAATAATATATAATATGTGTACCATCCATAAAATTAAATGAGCAAAACAGCAACAGGAGCTTATTTGTGGCACTGTGCAGCTGTCTTCTGCTGTTTGCAGGAACAAGTACTGCAAGCTGTGTGTTTTAATAAATAATTTAAAGATGACACAAATTAGACCCGCCCAAGCTCCTCAAACATGTCATTTCATACCCCGATTGAAAAAAACAATGAAAGGAGAAACCTGCTGAGGGAACTGAGGCGATGAATCACCTCAGAATGGGTTTAACCTCTTCAATCCCACTGTCCTGCCTGTGGAACAGTCGACGCAAAGTCAAGCTGTGCAGCCAATCAATGTTCAAACAAACAGAACTGTATTTTAAATTTGAGTGGAGATCCCAAAGTTTACAAAAACACAAAATATGTCAGGTTTAACTTTGGGGAAAGGTGTATAAAATGATACTGAATGAAGAGTATTTCAATTTAATGGAATGATAGAAACCTTTGTTTTGATTAGTTCTTTTAATGTAAATAATATGGCCTCAGTCAAGAGCTGGAGCAAGCTGATAAAGAATATATATCTAATATTGACAATGAGCTATAAAATCTATTTAAAAGGGAATAAAAGAAAACTGGATGTTTTCTGTGATGTCGCTTGTGCATTAAAACTCATTAAGTTATGCCACCCAGTAAATCATGATCGTATGTGAGTGCATAGGGAAAGACAAAGGACAAAATTTGCCACCAGATAAATGGATTTCTTGTGTGTATCAGTGGAAATATTACTTACAGTCTGAACTAATGTGAACTCCTGAAGTTGATATGTTGGAAAAAGCTTTTCTGCTTTTATAACAGTTTGGTTTTCCAATTAAACTGAGACTGAATTTTGAAATAAAAACTAAATTCCAGCAAATATTAATTTGGTTTTTGGTATTTATTTCATTCATGCAAGCAAAAAAAACAATCTAAAAAATGCACAGACAATATAAAAAAGACACAATTCATAAAGTATAATTCAAACTGAAATTATGAGTGGGAAAAAAATCCAAGTATAAAGGATGAAAATGGCAGTAACACCATCAATGCAGACATAATATGTATGTGTCCATTGTTGCTCAGAGTCACCTGTGTGGCTGACTGAGGCACATGAGGATGACACCTCCAGACTGATGTGTGTGCCTCTATGTGAACTTGGAGTCACATGATGGACCATGTGAGAGACAAAGATGCTGTTTGACAAAGTAAAACGTCTGTTTCCTCTGCAGATCATAACACTGGGTCTGAGGTTATCTGAGTGTTAGATCATCTTCAAAGTGTGCTGTAGTTTTCTGTCACCAAGAAACAGCCGACTACTTGACGCTCCCATATCTCTGTGGCATCTGACTAGGTGCACTGTTTTGTACCTGCCGAGTTCCTGTCGGCTTAGTCACACACCCGAGGCTGCTACCGACAGATCAAATGAAAGTGCAAAATACATTTGATTGACGTTTTATTTCATTTAATCAAAAGAAGGTTACGTAGGAAAGCGATTACTTCATCAGCTAAAGTAAAGATCAGTTTCACATGATGGACATCTATCATAAATTGCATAATAGAGAATGATGTTGTAACTTAGATGAGTGATGAGATGCATAATGATTCCAACAAAAACAGGCTTTCTGTCATGTGAGAAGGAAACAATTATTTGATACCTCTTCACTTTTCAAGGATTAAAAGTTTCATATTATCTCACAAACAGACGCTTAGAAGTGCAACAGCTTGTGACAAAGTGACTAAAATTGAGTAAATAATTCAAGAGAAGTATGCACATGGAGTTTTTATAGTTCATATTCACACTGTAAATCAATGTTTAGGTCAAATGTGCGTCATTTGTGTTTATTCAATTATTTTTTTTCTGTGGTTTCTGCAAGTGGTGCCATTCAGCAGTCCTGTCGGGATGCCATAGTTACAGTATTTTTAAAGACAACGGTGAAGCAAAGCAAAAGGAAGAAAACTGAAAAGCTTTGTTGTTTAAATAGTTGCGTTGCACTGATCTGTGTCTCACTTACCTGTAGATTGACAGGAGCTCTTAATATCTCCGGGGGCCATCATTCTTAGGCTCTGCGTGGATATGGCAGCACATACCACACCATGTGACTGAGAACATCGCTGAAATGCCTTCAGCAGATAAGATCTGAAACCTCCATAGAGTCCCTCTGTCACATGTTCAACCACTTTAAGACAGCATTGTATCGTTTCTGCATTGATTAAGGTGAACGACCGCTATTTGTGCCGGGTGTTATGCAATTTTCTATTCTTTTATAAAAACCTATGAAAAAAGCCCAACAGCATGATCACTCATCGCTCTACTTCCTGTAGTATTCATATGTGATTTTTGATTATTCAAATTCCCCACAGGGTGAGCCTTTTTTTTGCTCGGGGGTATTTCAGCAGGGCAAATGCTTCCTGTGATAGTGTTTTAAATATGGGTTTGTGATTGAGCAACAATCTTCTTCCTCTCTATGCCACCCTGCCGTCTGTTATTATCTTTCAACTGTTGAATAATTTGAGTAATGTAGCTGTAGAGATCTTTAATAATGAACTAGGGATTGTTTCATGATTTCTTAAGAATAAAAATGGAAAACAGGAAGAAAGTACACGGTTCCACAAAAAAAGAGACTAAACTACCCACATTAGGGGCAGGATTATTATGTAACAAGGGTATTTATGGAAAATGTAACACATTCTTTTTCGTGAAATAAAAACTTGAATTCAGTTCAGTCTGCTCAAGGGTTTTGAATCTGGTGATCAGGACTCACAAAGGGGGTCCCAGGATGAATCTGAAGGGCAGGAAGATAATCAACAGAAGATGAAATTTATAAAAAAAAGCATTATTTTTCAGACTCCTACTTCTGCTGTTTTTCTTCTTCTTGTCTAAAAGAACAACAAAACAATCAGTCACTGGTTAATCTGGTGACAACCGGTAGACTTACGTAACGGGTGATGAAGAGTTCAATGTTAGATAGATATCTTTGTGTATCTGCAACCCTTTCATGGGTTTTCTCTATTTGTGCTACTATTACACTACGATTTAGCCTTTACTTTTACCCCACATGTGGGATTTGTTCAATAAAACTCATATCAGTCACATTTTGTTCTGGTATACTGGACTCTTACCAGTTAAATATAACACTAGTGAATGTGCAAGTTCAAATGGCTTTTGGTCAGGCTCAGAGGGATGAGAGGACTGCCTGGGTCAACTGGAACATGCTGGAGGCTGGTTATAGCATTTGGGTTAGGCAGAGAGCCTGCTGGAGGTATCTGGTTAATTCAGAAAGATGGAGCTGAATATTTTTAAAATCGAGATACACAGGACAGTGCAGTTCATCATAATACTGTGCTAACATCCTGAAAACACAAGCACGTAATATTTTTTTACCTATCCTGCAAAAATCATGCAACCTGTGTATTTTACCTGACAGGACTCTTATACCGGTGTGTATTTTCATTGACTTGTTCTTGTGGGCTTCTAAAACCTGCAAAGCCCAGTGATACATTGTATGTGCTACTGGGATTTTATTGATTGATTTTTATGGATTATCAGACAGGGAAAAAAATAAAAAATCCAAAGGAAAACATGTTAATGTGAAGGAACTTATTTCCAACATGGTCCCAATAGGTCAGAAGACAAAGACAAGACATTCAACAGAAACTCTAAATAACACAGTATGTACAAATACAACAAACATCATAATTAAACATATAAAGTTAAGTATGTACTATGAATCATGGTTTGACTCTTGAGCACATACGGGAATATCATCAGAGATGCGAATCTCAGCAGCGGAACATAATGTCTTACATAATGAGTTGAATAAGTTAAATGTGATGAAGAAGGAAAACAGATTATGATCTGGAATGTTCTTTGTGTCACAGAGATACAGCAGAGCCTCGACATATGATGAATCCCTGAACTGGAATCTCTTCTGTCAGATGATCATCAAGATTGGAAAACGCCACCAGAACACACACACACGTGGAGGAGGACACAAATAACCAGTGAACATGTGATGTACCAAGCAGAGAACATGTTTTTACTGTTCATAAATTATGAAAAGACAGAGCGTGCTTTCATGTAAATAAAACTTACAAAATAAAAAACTGAGGATGTTCTATTGTTCCTATTGAGCATCACTCATTTTGAGTCATACTGATATTCATTTTCTGTCACTGACTTATATCACGCATCCTCTTATCTCCAGGCAGGGGTGGACTAATGATTACAGCAAACTTGCTTTCCAGTGTAAGAGATATTCTTCAAAAATATTGATAGTTGCTAGTAGTAAAGAATTATTAACCCAGTGTGATGAATCAAGTCTCTTAAATTCGTGCGGTATGTAGAGAAGACCTCAGAATGATCTACCTTATATACCATCAAGTATACACAAGAACACTTGGTGACTTAGAAACTTAAAAACAATCCTCTAGAGTACATTCAGTTCCCCAGGGTCCAGTGTGTAACATTTAGGAGGATCTATTGGCAGACATTGAATATAATCTTCACAAGTATGTTTTAATTAGTGTTTAATCACCTGAATATAGGAATTGTTCTACGGATAATGCAGATCGCTTTCTAGGAGTTGGCCATATTGAATTGACATCTTTCTACAGTTGCTCAAAAAGGACAAACCAAACATTTGTTTAAGATAAGGGTGTTCATGTTTGAAGGGGACAGCGAGGCAAGGTAATTGCAATCTGCATCTACACTTCAAGCACAATGAACTTTAAAAAAACGTCCTTAAACAACACATTTTTCCCCAGCTGCTCCAGTGCAGGGGCTCAGTGGTTAGAAGCAGTATAAAACTGGAACAGTACATTAATGCTCAGTTAGCATTCTGTTAAAGACTATACTATAGCATAAACAATATATTGTATTTGAAGGACTCTATTAGTGGTTTTATGATTCATTAAAAACACTGCCATGTATTCTAATCAAAGGCGTACACACATACACATTCAGCATGCAGCTCTGGTGATTATGTAAGCCTGACTGACATGTGTGTTCACCCGGGACCAGTTTAATGCTTTCACAGACACTCAAAAGTTTATTTACAACGTAGGACTAAGTGTCTGTCAACAGTCATTATCTTGAGTGCAGTTACAGGTTACTGTAGTGGCACGTCTTTACCATTACACCAAGACCTGATTTTTTACCATGCTTTACATTTGTGATAACCACCTGGGTAACATTTTGTAATAATGGCTAGAAGTAGCCACATTAAAAAATAATGCCATATAAAGTTAGTCACTGCATCTAATGTCTGTACTCAGTCATTTTGTCACACATTATGCAAAGATCATTTCCTGCTGTAGTACCTGTTCTAGGAGGTTTTTTTTGCAGCTGTAGCTTAACTGCAGGTGTAAAGGCCAGCAGTGAAGGAGTGGTTTACCTGCTTTATCAACAGGTAAGATGTCCCCACCCCCTGTCTGTGGGCACACCCCTCCCAAAGGTCCCTATATACACCTGATGAGATGCTGCTGGAAGTCACATCAGCGCAAGGGCCTGGTTGAGGAGTGATCAGAGCATCTTCAGCAGACAGTCACCATGGGGAACTGTTGCAACAGTGTAGTCAATTTTTTCGGCCGGCAAAAGAACACCAATGTTCGTGTTAGTCTTCCGGCTGTCTGTTTTGTCTGGCAGATTGCTATGATTGTGCTGTTTGGAGTTTTCATCCGGTACGATGAGGAGTCAGACGCACATTGGGTAGAGTTCAAACAGGAAAACAACATCACCAGCGACATTGAAAATGACTTCTACTTCAGATATCCCAGTAAGTACAGCCATAGACAGCCTGTAAGGTAATTCACTTTGCAAATAAAGGTTACATATTTAATTGCAGGTATTATTTTGATGATCCTGTGTCAGTGATGTGTCACTCTGGTTGTTTTCCACTGATGGCAAATGGATGACTATGATTCATTATTTTCATCCCACTGAAAATATAGTTGTACATACAGATATTTTCTCATAGATGCAACTTTTTAGAACCAGATTGTAGTCATTTTACTATCTGGTTCTAGATTGTGACAAATTTAATAACATTTAGTTTTAGGGACTTAAAGCAATTGTATGTATCAGTATGTTGTGCTGATTATGTGGCTGCAATAATATCTTAAAGCCAGTAATACATTTAAGCAAGTTAAACTGATAAAATCTCAACACACAAGAACAAACAAAAGCATAAATTTCAAAATCTATAATTATTAATAAACTAAAGAAAGATATTTTTGTCAAAGCTTGATACATTTTAAAATTCTACGAATATAAGTAATTGCATGCCATTACACCTCGACAAAATGTATTAATTTATTTCCCTCTCTCTAGGCTTCCAGGACGTCCATGTCATGATCTTTGTTGGATTTGGTTTCCTCATGACCTTCCTCAAACGATACAGCTTCGGTGGTGTGGGCTTCAACTTCTTGATCGCCTCCTTTGGTCTGCAGTGGGCTCTTCTCATGCAAGGCTGGTTCCACTCCCTCGACCCGGCCACCGGAAAAATCTATATTGGTGTAGAGAGGTAAGCCAGTAAATTATGCAGCTTTTTCAGTCATTTAGTAAACTGGAGAAATGCTGGGGGTTGCACAGGTGAATTATGCAACTTAAAAACTGAAACCTGTCAAGATGAACTAACTGTAAATGTGGATAGGGGAGTCTGACTTTAGCCATGTTCTTTGAAGAGGTACTTTTGTCACAGCAGTCACTGCATGTTTTTGTCTGGTCCTGTCAGAAGTCCTTGAGGCAAACCTGTCATTCTTGTCGTCGGGTGTCATTTCTACTACTGTGTACACTATGTGAAGTACAAATTCATGATCGAGCTGTTCCAGTTTGTCTATTTTAAGTGTGGTTACCTTGGATGTTGACCTTCTCTCTGCCCATACCTATCACCTTCTCTACATTTTATCATAATATATTTATATAATTTACTATTTATGTTTCTTGGGAAATACAACAGCATATGTGAAGAATGTTGTTTAAAGCAGAAGGAGCTGCGTGATGCTTCACTATACACTCAGACACCCAGAGAACAAACTGTACTCCTGTGCTGGAATAACACTATCTGGCCCCAAGGTAAACACTGTGTAGGAGGAAAACACACAATGTGAGCACAATATTTACTAATCTACAAGACAGAGCCACATCAGTAGGTTATAATGCAGGACCTGCCTTAGTCGATGTTGTACTTTAGTCGTGCCAATTCCTTAGCAAGTTTGCAATTCAAATCATATTACCAAAACCAACTGAAATACACAAACCTTTGGACTTTTGGAATGTCAGGGAAGTTTCCCACTTGGCCCAGTCCAGCCTTGCTTTGACTCCTCACAGTGCTTTGGTGCATCGTTTATCGCTCTTGGTCATTTAAGTCTCCACTCAGTCAGACTTCTTGACGTTCTCTTTGTCCCCCACAGTCTGATCAATGCAGACTTCTGCTGTGCCGGCTCTCTGATTGCCTACGGTGCCCTCCTGGGAAAAGTAAGCCCTGTCCAGCTGATGGTTGTCACCTTATTTGGCATCACACTGTTTGCTGTGGAGGAATACATCATCCTCGACCTTCTTCATGTGAGTCTCATCAAACACAATCATCGCACTGGGGATTTTATTATTGTCCAAGGGGACATAATTTTCCTTCAAACATTGCAATTTCTTTTTTTGTGCTGCTCATTCCCACAGTGCAAAGATGCTGGTGGCTCCATGGTCATTCACGCCTTCGGAGGATACTATGGTTTGGCCATCTCCTGGGTCCTCTACCGACCGAACCTACACCAAAGCAAACGCCTTAATGGATCCGTCTACCACTCTGATATGTTTGCCATGATCGGTGAGTGACCGCTGACTTATATTTTAAATTTCACAGTTCATTTGTCATATCTATTATTTTATATTCATCACCATCAGGCCTGTCTGCTTGGTTGTAAATGTATTAATTTTAATTGACAGGTACACTGTTCCTGTGGATGTTCTGGCCCAGTTTCAACTCTGCCATCACGGACCATGGCGACGGACAGCACAGAGCAGCCATCAACACTTACCTGGCCCTCGCTTCCTCTGTTCTCACCACCGTGGCCATCTCCAGCATGTCTCAGAAGAGAGGAAAACTGGACATGGTAATGCTATGTCACTGAAAAACGTCAAACCTACAGCGAGTCATGTAAGATATGTGCATTTCTCACGACTAACATGCTTGCTTTACCTGACAGGTGCACATCCAGAATGCCACCCTGGCAGGTGGTGTTGCCATGGGAACAGCAGCAGAGTTCATGATCACTCCTTATGGTTCATTGATCGTGGGTTTCTGCACAGGTATCATCTCCACCTTTGGCTACCTGTTTGTCACGGTGAGCCTGCAGTCTTTTGCCTCCTAACTTTTGATCTGAGAGAACTCTGTGTTGTGGCTCTATCACTGCAGAAGTTAAGAAAAGGAAGAAGAGAAAAAGAGGAATAAAAAAAAAACTCAGAAGAAATATGAAGGAACCAGAATGAAAAGTAGAAGCAAAAATAAACCAGTAGGTTATTTTACAGGAAAATAGCTCCATTATAAGAAAAGTGGTGACTCATGTCAAGAGCAGTTACTTTCATGATTAGATGTAATAAGGAAACAGGCCAGAAGCAAGTTATTGTGACACACCTCAAAAAGTTATTTTAAATGCCAACCATTATTGCGTTTGGTAGTCATGTCTCTGTTTTATAATGATGCATTTTATAATGATGCATTCAATTTTAACTTTTTTTTTTTTTAACTTTTAATAACCTGAAATAAAGTTGAAAAAAGAGCAAAACTGGTAGCTAGATAGATACTGAATGACCTTGACACAGAGGTCATCAGTATTTGAGAATTTGAGGATTTTATATTCTATAATTGCATGCAAACCACACTTGGTATGTTTTTATTATATTTACTTATATTTGACAGGTTATAGGCCAAACAGTTAATAAAAGATTTTAAAATGTCCATGGTGTGGAGAAATAACATTTATACAAGATCTATTTTCACAAATAAGTGAAAATATAAACTATGAAAAGACTAAATAATGTAAAAAATTACAGAAAATAGCCATTTTAGGGATAACTATAAAGGGCTCAAAGAAAACAGAATTTGGACTCATGACCTCAGTATTTTTAAAATCATGGATATGGCCTTGGCTTCAGATCAGTCAATAATGGATGATTTTGTCATTCGCAGCCCTGCTTGGAGAACTCTTTAAAGCTCCAGGACACATGTGGTGTTCACAACCTGCATGCTGCACCAGGGATGCTCGGCGGCTTTATAGGTGCCATTGTTGCTGCAGCCGCCTCTGAATCTGTCTATAGTAAAGAGGGGTAAGTTATTAAATACACACAGACAAACCTGTTTGCTGACTCCAACATGGTAAAAGAAAACAGTGACATGCCCAGTTTTTAGGCATTGTCTTCATCTATGTGTACAGATTAAGCACAAAGACATGTGCAGGTTCTACTTGAGTTTTGAGGTAGAAACTAGTTTGGGAACTGACTTGGCAACACTTTTTTCTCCTGTAGGTTAATCAACACATTTGACTTTGAAGGCGAATTTGCAAACAGAAGTCCAGGGACCCAGGGAGGCTTCCAGGCTGCTGGCGTATGTGTGGCAATTGCGTTTGGACTTGTTGGAGGAGCGATTGTCGGTGAGTTTGAAAACTGCATTGTGTACAAGACTAAGGAAAACAGTAATCTTACTACATCAAGCAGTCTGTTTCAATTATGTTAAGATAAATCAGAGGCAAGAGGATATTTATTACTAAAGCACTTTTAAAGGTATTTTTAAGGTATTTTTTTCTCCAAACACACACACACAGAAAAATAAGAATGATTGTTACCGAAAATAGTATCTGTACATGTCAGTTTGAAAAGTTCTGAAGTCTTGATTAATGTTAGATTTTCTCTCTTTAAAGGTTTCATCCTGAGGTTCCCGATTTGGGGCGACCCTGCTGACGACAACTGCTTTGATGATGAAGTTTACTGGGAGGTAAGAGTGCATTTCTACCACTAGATGGTGTTCTTGCCCTTTAAGTGGTAAGAAAAATGTCTGATCCCATGTGTTGGTTTCAGGTTCCTGAGGAGGAGGAGACCATCCCTCCTGTCTTGGAGTACAACAACCACATGATACACAAACACCAAGACATGTAAGCTCACTCATACTTACACACATGCTTATTTACTGTTCCCCTCCCTCTCATGAATTCTCATTAAATGTGATTTCCTTCTGTTTGTTCAACAGATCTGAGTCAAACTTCTCTGTGGAGCAAAGTTAAAGCAGCACAGTGGATGATTGACCCCCCTCATATCACTTTGAACTTGATACAGCTGTGAAACAACACTAATTTATGAAGGAGCCACCCTCAAAAATTGGCATTTCTACAAAAAAGGAAGAATATTTTGCCATATTCTGCAAGTCTTGTCTCACAACATTTACACCTGATACATTTGTCTTTAAGATTACGGTAACGCTGACCAAATATCATACGAATAGAAAAATAATTCTGAATCAAAACTACATTTATTTTCTCTTTCATTTTGGAAGAGACTTCATATAATTTGCAGATACTTCATGACTGGAAAATGCCCTGAATCCAAGCAGTATGATGAGAAGTCAAAGACACTTTGTTTATGCTATATATGCTGACTATAACACACAGAAGAACTACATTTTCATGAATTTGGAAATGCTTTACTGTACGCTTTTATCTTTATCATATAAAACAGTTTAATATTTAATGTTATGCCTTCTAATTGCTGAATATTGTAACTGATGTTTGCCATTTTATTGCATATAAATGAAGAGTCTATATTGTAATACAATATATTTAGTTGTGCGTGTAAAAAGAAAAAAGGCATTAATCATAGATATTTGTGAAAACCAAAGTAGGCAAATTTTGAGTTTGTTTAAAATGATGCATAGGTCTTCGTAAGCTGTGTGTACATATGATTAAATATTTTATTGCACATTATTTGTTTGTTGCATAACTGATTTGTTCTTAAGGTGGAAGTTTTAAATAACTGCAGTAACTGTGATATAATTTCCAGTGAGTTGGTTGCTACAGTGTTCAATGTTACCTCCAATACAGTACATGTGATTGTATGTGACAATCTGCTTGTTGTATTATTGATGTATTTTCAGATGTACACTTTCATAAATCACATGTAAGAGGAATTAAACAATAACTTAATATTATTGTATTTGCACTCTAATTGCTCACATTTTTACAAGACATGATCAAAATGAACTAATGCCAAAGCTAAATAATTCCAATACTCTTAAAGTGTAATAATCATCACACATGCCTTGAATAAGTAGAATAAATGACAATCATGATGTGAGAATTTTCGTTGGTAGTCTTCAAGTAGCCTAAATAAATCATCAAACGTGAATAAAGCAATAAATTAATGGAAAAAACTGACAGCTTAGTTATCTATTTTTGTATATTCCTGACCATTATAATAACTTACTTTATTGCCTTACCATAATGTGTGGCATATTATTCAAATATTATTTTTAATTAATTAAATTAAAATATAAGAAGAAACTATCCAAAATGATTAAAAATAAAGTTTAACGACAAAGAAGATTCCCTCATACAATTTTCAAAGTAGAACTAGAAAGTAGTAATAGTTCAGTGCTTGGCTCGAAGTATGGAAGCTGATGGATCGATAAAACAGGAAATATGAACAGATTAAATGTGTGGAAAAGAAGGAAAAGTTAACACCATTGTACTACTGCAGGAATCAAATAAATTTTTGATTTAGCCAATTGATCCATGTTTGTTTTCAGGCTGTAGTCCAGAGTGTGCAGAAAAAGACATATTAAAGCAAGCTAATGCAAACACTGGTGTGTGCAGACAACATGATTATGAGCAGAATTCAAAACTCCTTTAAAATGAACGTTACACTAACAAACTAGAGTTGATTGAAATTTAACAAGGCATTCCCTTTACTAAATACTTAGTTACTTAAGTTATTGGTATTTGGTGTTATCTATTTCTGAGTTGTACAGATTTAGCTGGTCATGGTATTCACATCAATGTAACACAGTATGTTGGTCAGTTACAGTTACAGTTACTCCCCCTCTGTCACATTTACATTCAATAATTAAAATACAAGATGGGGCCTCAAGATCAGATAATAATATAGGTGTATATCTTTCATTATATATTATAAGTCTTGAATTAACTTTTGAAATTAAAATAAAACCATAAATCTCACAAATTGTTAAATTTGAATTGTATGAGTGAAACCATATAATCCCCTAGAGTTTAATTTAGGACCTGTTAATAATAATAATTATTATAATAATAATAATAATTAATAATTTTTAATTAAATAATTAATTACTGTTCTTATTTGATTTAGTCTTGTTTTTAATCATGTTTAAAATCAGGATGCTCAATGTTTAACCTAGGGGGTAGCTTCCTAGACATAGATAATAATACATTACTATATATTTGTAATTACATGTCCCATTCTTTCCTCTTGATCATGATTCCTCTATTTCTCCACATGGTGGCGGTATGAGGTAAAGATTGATGGAGAATCAATCAATAGATGCTTTTCTGATGTTAAACAGAGGTTTTAGCCATCCTACTCTTTAAACACTTACGTCCTTAGAGAAATAGGATTAAGACGTGTGTGTGTGTGTGTGTGTGTGTGTGTGTGTGTGTGTGTGTGTGTGTGTGTGTGTGTGTGTGTGTGTGTGTGTATGTGTGTATGATACGTCCCGGTGCAATTTTTAGGATCAACAGTAGCCAGTGTTTTAATTTGACAACCAAAGGTCTTAAAAGTAAGAACAACTTACTTACAACTTTGCATGCAGACTATTTTAACACCAGTGTACTAACATATAATAAACATAAAGATGCTTATATTTCTCATTTCTTCTACACATCATAATTTGCCTTTGACAGTACTACAGTATTTAGTAAATACCAAGCTGATAATTGTAAATTATTTCAAAGAAGTTGGAATTTAGTTAAATTAAATTGGAAACCTGATTTACTAATATTTTCTTGAATTCTGACCCCTCTGAAGGACTCTTCTGACCACACAAGGGCTCTCATGCAGCATCCGGTTTAAATGCCTGTGACTTTTCATAAAGAAAAGCTGATGAATGTCCCTGACTGCTGAGTGGAGAATTATCTTCACCTCTACAACAGCAGTCCACAGCTTCATGTTGACTTGACTTAAGGTGTAAGTTTGAAGAGTCAAAGAGGGTTAAACTGCATCCTTCATGGGCTCGTTTGTTGCCTCCAGGACTCCGGTCTCCCTGCTGCCTTCATTATGATGGTAATGAGGCCTGGACAGGCCAGTCAATAAGGTCATTTCCTGACCAGTCACTGTGACATTGATGAACTCTAAATATACTGGGTGGACATGTGCTTTGCGCTGGTCTTGTCAGGTTGGCTGGTGGCAGAAGTTTTATTGAGTGAAGAGGTCTCTAAAAAGGCCTGATGGGGTTAAACAAGTTAACTGTGGAGTTATCTGTAAAAACACCGCTGGGGTCAAATACCTCAGAGTCATTGTTTTTAGTACAATGAAACACAACATTTACATTGTGTCATACTTATTTAATTGTAGGTTTATATAGTCTAGCATCCATGTGATGCTAATAACATGACAATGTTATACTAGGGTATCATTCAAACACTGGAGCTGAATTTGTTTTAGCTTGTTTTGGTTTTTGGACAGTATCTACACAATGTTGAGAGTTACTAGTATGTCACATTGTCATTGTCATGTCACATTTTGATTATTTCTCACTGAGCTTTTAATGTTCTTCTAATTGCTTATTGGCAAAACAGAATAAAACATCTTAAACCAAATACAAATGCCACCAATTTTAAATACACCAAAGTATTTTACAAAAAGTTGTATAAAAGCTTTTGTGGCTCCAAAGGGAACTGTGTAAAGTCTGATTTGGCCTCAAGTGATGTCACTTGAGTCACCATAAGTTGGGGTTGAAGACTACACGTTTGAAAATGAAAACAACCTCGGAAGTTAAAGAAGTAAGCTAACTACACCTCTGTAGCCTGCTCCTCATGTCTGCTCAAGGCTACATTAGTTGCTACTAGCATAACACACACAAATCCCAGACCAAACTGTGGTGGTCAAGTAGCATTGTGGGTAATGTAGGTTCCAGGTTTTTGCCAGGACGCTCTTATTCTTCTGGATCAATTTTGAACCTTTTTTTAAAAAACATACTGTCCACCATGTTTCAATCAATGTTATAGGAGAGCGATGCTAAATATATGTGATACTCTTAAGTAAATGCTGAAACCCTCCGTAATGTTGAATGTTGATCATCACTGTTTTTAAAAGATATCACATTTTCTGCAGCACACAAAAATGTGGAAGGGTTTTAATAAATGGTCTTAAATTTTAATATTTTATCAAAAATAAGTTGACATCCTGAGACCTGATGGGAAACAGACAGACTGCAGCACACTGATTGATTTGCAGCCTTTAATATCGCAGCTGTGTCTTCATCAGAGTCAAAATCCTTTCACCAAAATAATCAGAATTTGACAAGGAAACAGACTCAAATCCAGTCATTTCAGAAACTTCAATGTTTTATATGATTTATTTCAGGGTCCAAGAGGTTTGAGACAGAACCACTGTAACATAGATGTTTCTCTTAAATCACAGTGCAGACAGGCCTGCCCTTACAGGGACCTGATGCTTGAGGAGAGTGGACGTAGCTCCTCTTGTGAATCATATGACCCTGGGGAGAGTGTTTGTGAAACCACTTGGTCTGCTATTGTCCTCCTGGGACTGGCCTCCTCTGAAAAGCTGCAGAAAGCCTGTAATCAGATTAAAGGTTGCTGGGAAGGGGGAGGAGGGATTTTTGAGGAATAGCGAAGAGGTCGTGGAAGTTCTCTAATCAGTACCTGCCATTGAAGTGCAGAAGAGGGGCTAAATAACGCAGCAGGAGGGGAGGCGGGAGCCAAGCTGGAGGGACAAATTGGCCTGTTGTTGGGGGGGGATAATGGGACAATGAGGGAGGGGAGTATAATCAGTGAGTATAGAGTGGGAGAGAATAGGTGCAATGGGAAAAGGAGGAGACTGAAGAACTCCAAAGGCGGTGGCCTTGTCCCATCCTGCCCTGGCAATTATATCACCTTTGTGAGCTGATTGGAGCAGGCTGCAGAGTCCATCTGGGCTTTTAGATGGACGTAACAACCTACATTTTCTCACTGTCCTCGCCGAGCGCTCTCACCGGGCCACTGAGTGACATATCAGGGGCTCTTGTGGTCTAAATAAAAACTCATCAGCGCACTCCTGAAAAAATCCCGCCCTTCAAGAGATCCACAGTACCTAATTGCCACATGACAGTGCCGATCATTAGTCACATCTCCGTGCTTTCACTCAGACCATTTCATTATGTTATCTCATTAGAAAAATGGCTGAAGATATTTATTGTTCTTTTGTAGAGGCACTCTTCTAGTTCTCATGACAAGCAAGCAAAAGTTTGTTTATGCAGTGAATTACGTTGAGCGATAACCTTGTAATCTAACCAATAAAAATTTAACTCCGCACTGTCCAGAGCTTGTAATGCTGATGTCATATCACAAGACATCCCACTGAGCGCTGAGCTCCACCGATCTCTCTGTAGGATCCATTGTGATTACTCATCAAACGTCCATTGCCCGAACAACAGGCATCACTAAAGGCCAATCACTACTTTTTTATTCAGTTGACAAGAGTCCATTTGTTGGGGTCAAAGGGGAAAATCCCAGGGGGGAAGACCTCTCTGCCAGCACTGGTGAGGAGGAGAACCAAAGAAATCACTATTCATAGCGGGGGAGTGCTTTGATTCGGGCACAAAGGCCACTAGTTCCCTGCCTAGATTGAAAGAAGTAGAAATCAGAGCTGCTTTAAAACATGTGCAAGCCATCCACACTGAATGGTTTAGCTAATTAGGTGCTCCACCTGCCTCTGAGCCCTAATTAGTGCGTAAGAGATAGTATTTGATTGTGATAAATAGGGAAATCTCGATATAACATTATTTTCCTGCTTCTTTATTACTTATTACCAATATGTGCGTACAATTAAACATGTAGGAATGACTACAACATTTCACATTTTCTTTGCATAATGTTTCACATACAGACACTGCAAAGAAACGTCCCATCCCAAGGAGATTTTATTATTGGTTACATTTTGGTGTACATTGCACTTAGT